TGATATGCAATATTTTAATACTAAGCATTCTACTTTTAAAAACTTATCAAGCTAAAATATTTATAAATAAGATACACTCAATTAAACATAGGACAGACAGACACACACACATTATATATATAATGTATTTATAAGAAATAAAAATCTTTCTAAAAAAATCTAATAAGAAGGAAAAAAAAAATCTAAGGTTTTAAACTTAAGTTGTTGAAGAAAGAATCAATATCTTAAAGAACTGAGATAGCATTTTAACTTTTAACATATATAGCAGAAATCTAAATATTTTAACTCAAAATACACATTTACAAACCCAAGGTCATTTGAAATAAATTAAAAGTCAGTTTTTGAACTTTAAAAGTAAGACCCAAAAACACCAAATTATATTTCAGCTATGAAGAAAATAAGTACTGTATAAATTATTTCATAATAGAATTTCGAATACCTAGAACTTAAGATGTATATTCAATTCTCTAAAAAAATACAACCTGAAATTGATTTATAACATTTTGCCTTCATGTCTATAAATTTCATAACTGGAAAGTGTACAATGTAGAATTATTATCATGCACAGATACTGCGCCTGAATGAGAAAATTAAGTCGTTTATAGCTATAAATAGCTATTTATATCATATGATTTATACAAACAGGAATACTTAACATCCAAAAGAATCAAGAAATGTTAAATAATGTTTTTAGGCAGTCGACAAAAAGACAAGAATAAGAAATTCAAACAAGAACAACCTATGAAAAGACCTCAAGGGGCACGTAAAAAAGCCTAATTCTTGACAATGAAATAAGAAGGATACATGATGCTTTATACAGAAGTAAGTGAACTAAAGAAGCATTTGTCACACCACCATAGGAAAACTTATTGTGTACCAACCAGGATTCAACCCTAATTTTTTTTTCTATACCTGCCTTCCTCGCCTTTTAGGCTATACATGGTTTTTCACCGGCCAAGAGTGTGAGAGCAGGGATTAATGTCAGACTTAAAAGCCCCCACAGAGGTAGGGGTCTTAAGTTAGGGGTCAATATATAACTAAACGCTATATCTGATCCCTAGATTCGAAATAGAATAAAGTTAAGTGCTCTGTATTTGAAATAAACTCACTTTTATTTCACTACAAAGTTTACACAGATATTTTAGACCTTTTGACTTTTAGACTTTTTTATAACAACAATAACAAGAAGGACCAAATCCTAATTTTGTTTGAGAAATATTTGGATCAAAGTCAGGTCGTTGTTGATAAGGTGGATAATATTTTTTTCTGTAACTTTGGATTTTAGCTGGTATACGGCCTTCCATGCCATTGTAATTTTCAGTCACTATGAGCATTTATTGTTCTTTTTGTCTTTCTTACCTCCTAGCCTCCTTCAAACTACCACAGGCTTTCAAAGAGATGTCATATCATTTTTAACATAAATATCATCATCTTCATCCTCAATTGTCCTAATGCTATATTCATTTGTATCATCTTTAGTACATCTGTCTTCATCTTCATCCTTAAATCTTCTAATTCTATCTTACTTAGCATCATCTTTACCATACATGTCTTCATCTTCATAGTCACATGCTCCGACACCAAAAACCTGGCCATGGATTTATGATGTCTTTTTTATTTCACAAACTTTCAAAGGAGTTTATAAAAAATCAAATCTTCTTTTGTGAAAACCCGAATTAACACAATGTTGATCGTTATTTCTAATAGAAATTTTATCACCTTTAGTGAAGTTCTGGTACTTAATTTTAACAATCTCATACCTTTTCCTATATACATCAGCCACTTCCTCAGCATCTGATATCATTTCTTCATAGGATACATCATTTTCTATTGAAAGATCTAATATTTCCTTCGGAATCAATTCCAAACTCAAACTTCTCCTTCAAAAGCTCCAAGTAAGCGAACACTTCTTCAAAATTATCACATTTAATCAATTTTTTTAGCTCGTTAGCGCAGCTTGTGAAGTCAGCGCGGAAAATTCTTCTTACCTTCCATTGAACTCAGTCAACAACTAGAAAATAGAATACTCAACAGGTCATGTCACAGTCGCCACTTATGTTAGGGTTAGGGTCAATATATAATTAACCGTTATATCTGATCCCTAGTTTACACAGAGATTTTAGATCTTTAGACTTTTAGGCTTTTTTATAACAACAATAACAATTAATCAAATATGCATATTTCAACAATATGTGAAACTATTAAATACTTATAAAATAAATATCACTTTTGATTTATTCCCTAACAGGGGGCATGAACTCGTAATTATTTTATCAAATAATCTTCCATCAAGTTACTGGGCAATGCAATGTTGTGCACACAGATTAACCCGCTCAGCCACCCTGCTCCACTTCAGTCATTAAACTTGAAAAACTAGTCACTTTTAATGGAAGAAAAAAATGTTTTAATATATATTCACTTGGATGCCTTTCAGAAAATGTAAGGAGGGAACCTTCTTGTTCAAAAAGCTTTACTTGTCAAGTTTAACAAATAAACCATTTCATTTAAGCCTCCTGTTATCAGTAATCATTGATAAAAACCTACCTATTGATTTTTCCTAACAATCAAGATATTATTTTTAACATTTACATCATTCCTATGCTATGTGCCATAAAAAATAAATATCATAAAAAACTATAAAAATTAGAAGTTGAAAAACTGTTATAAATTATATAAGAAGTTCAATTTAATACATAAAAATAATTTTATTTTACATAACTAAATATCTATTATCATTTATATTTATAAAATGATTTTCAAATAGAACACTATACTAACTACTGGTACAACATATCAAAAAATAGGTTAACAAGAGAACCACAAAGAAAATCTTAAAATAATTAACGACAGACCCTTAATCCATGAAAATCAACCTAGCGATTTCTCATTTCAACAAACATCAACACAGAAAAAAAAAAAAAGAAATATTCCTTAAGGAAGAAACTTAAGAGCATGCATATGCTCCTAACAATAATATTTTGTTATTGAAACAAAAATCAACGTACAAATTAATGGATATAATTGAAAAAATAAAACAAACAAATTAAAATAAATGTTAAGAAGAAATAGCAATAGATATACTTGTATGTCATAAGTTATTTAAACCTTAATATAACAATAAAATTCTATAATAAATATTACATGGTATGATTTTAATTTGGAGATATTCATGTATTTGATAAATTTAACCAAGTGGTGAGCTTAGTTAGATTTATAATTGAAAATAGTTTTCAAAAAGTTTTGTAAATATGTCTAATGGGTAATGGTACTTGTATAATAGCGGGTAGCATCAAAACACCCTTGTTATCTAATCTTATTTCACATAACCTCCCTTATCTCCTCTAAACTAAGTTATTCCCTTCTCTAAACTAAGTTATTCCCTTGTTTATATTTTGTCCCTTTTGTAAGCTGTGAGTTAGTCTTATTTAATTATGGATGTTGTCACATTGTGGGAATTGCCGTCTTCAGAAGAAGAATCCATCAAATATTTTCAAGACGCAGGGATATTTGCAAAGGTGAAATATTGTGATGAAGGTCATCAAATGAAGTTCGACGGGAAGATCAAATGGAGATGCTTTCTTGGTTGTAACAAAAACGTTTCTATAAGGAAAGAAAAGCGGTTAGAGGGGTCAAGGATTTCTTTTTTAACGGCTTTAAAATTGATTTATGGGTGGTCCCATAATTTAACAATACGGAGGGGGAAAGAGCAGCTCAAACTATCCCAAGCAACTATCGTAACGTGGAACCAATTTTTAGGAGAGGTTTGTTCCCATCATATGAATTTTTTTATTATTACATTTGTTTTTTCACAATTGTAATAATATCAATACAATGCAATAAATATGAATACGAAGATATAATAATATCAATACAATACAGTAAATATGAATACGAAGATATAATAATATGAATATAATACAATAAATATGAATACGAAGATATTATCAGTGGCTTATCAGAGTTATCAGTGTTAAGGTTATAAATATTGGTAGATAGCAGTCGGACGCAACCCGCTATTAAACAAGTACCTGGGTAATTAATGGATTGAACTTTGAAAAGGTGAATACATCTCTGAAAACAGCATTCTAATAAATTTCAAAACTTTTTGTGCAAGTTAAAAACCTATATCAGTTAAATGCATATATTTATCAGTTAAATGTTAATGTATAATAGTTAAAAATAAAAATTAGCATCATATATTAGCCAGGGGAACTACCTGATGTTCTGTAAAGAGAGTCTGCTTTTCCTTCATTGGGCGCAATGTCCTGGCCTAAGCTCTACCCATAAGAAGGTTCTCCCTTAAGATATTTATTGATATATTAAATAGAAACAATATTACTTTAAATAGAGGGATGATTTAAATATCCATTGGCTAAGGCTTTAGTCTTTCACACCACTCTGTTCCCCTCTCTTCACAGTTGGAACTATGCAACTCATTCTAGTTAATATCAATTTGAATAGCAGTGAAAGAGAACATTTGTTTATTTACCTTCGTTTGGAGAAAAGTTTTTCATTATTTCCTTTGTTAAGTGATTTACTAGAGTTTTAAATTTTAAATTAACGTTTAAAAATCAATCAATCAGATCATCCATCATTCCAATACAGATTTACAGAGAAACTTTTTGTAAAGCTAGTTTGTTTAAACTACAATATGTTCTGTTGGAATTTTACTGGGTTCGATATTCAAAATTCCTCATGTTTTGATACCTTAATGCACTGCTTTTGAAATAATGCACAGATGTCCAAACCAATTCCCATACAGAATTAGATAGTCTCCTAGATGCCATGAGATACATCTGCTTGCTTAATTCCTTAATTAGCTTTGATTAGATCACAAATTTCGAATTCCACTTGCTCAAAAGATACAAAAACCTACTATGGGTCATTTTTTAACTTCTGTCATATCAAAAATTTCTATTTTAGGATAAACATTTGTTTTATTTTTTATTCGGTTACACCTAAGCTATAAATATACTTATGAAGTTGATTAACATTTTTACCTGAGGTAGATGAGTTCCCCAAGTTCAGCTGGTAGGGAACGAAGTTTATTACAAGACAAATCAAGTACACGAAGATTGACAAGTTTTCCAATGTCTGGAGGTAGCCGACTCAGACAATTGTCATTCAGGTACAAACTGGTCAAATGAGTCCAATCCCACAAACGTGAGCTCAGATTACGAATAGTACCTGTAATTAAAACAATGAATTTAGTTTCAATAAAATGTTATATTTAGTTAATAGAAGCACAGACTTTAATAAAGGACAAAGGGACAGTTAGAAATAAAAATGATGAATATTAATCTTGTTGTAATAAACAGAAAAGTTTTATTTTGAATCTCATAACTTTCTAAAACTATAGTGCTTGATGATACACCATAAACCCTCATCCATTAGAAAATTGCAAAGAAAAGCCATAGCTTGGTAGATGTAAAAAAACAAACTGTTTTTATAAAATTCAATTTTTAAAAAAATTAATATTTGTTATTTTTTCTTTGGATCCTTCAAATACAAAACCAAATGATTTTGAAATAATAATCAACCTTTATACTAATTTATTGGGTAATACAACATTCTATCACAATATGGACAATGGTTATACTAAGAAAAGAGTGGATGCACACCAAATGATCAACTTTTAGAGAATTATTAAGTAAACCTTTAATATTAAAATGGAAAACTATGAAAATAAATTTCACATTTTACAGAAAGTGGATAAATCTAGTACTATCGGCAATATTCAGTAGGAGGGTTTAAAATAAAGTCCCACAAGTTCTCTCAAATGAAAAGCATTGATGTATTTAAAAAATATTTCCTTTTCAGAAACATGACGATCCAGTGTTCTATCAAGGCTATAACAGACCCACTGAAAACACCAGCACCCTTTTAAATTTAGATGTTGGAAAACAAAACTCATACACTTCTCATTAACTAAACAAAACACTTTAATTACTCGAAGAGCAAATCAAATGTGGTCAGAATTCTATATCAATCTTCTAATAAAAATATCTGGTTCAACCAATTGATTTAACTATGTCCATACTGTAATTCAAACCAAAAGGAGCTAGTTCCTATAAATCAGCACTAAGCTCATCGATGGCATCTATTCGCTCAGTTTAGAAACAGATCCGATCTTATTGATGTGCTCAACACTGAGATTAAAAAATTGTTTGAGGCTTTAAGACACTTATTATGAAGAAGAAAAAGAACTTTTTTGTACATATACCAGCGAATTATGATTTGATATTTACCTGTTATCTCCATTTCAGTCCAATTAGACTTTTTCCCACTTCCTGCCTCTTCGGATGACATAATTGTATGCTTTCGTCTAGGATTAACATTTTCCACTTCCTTTTTTTGCATCCGTGACATAGTAAAAACTGAAAACATAACATAAATGTAACAGTAAATGCTGAATCGAAATACAGCTTTCCAACAAGTTTAAATAAATTTTACAACTGCTATCAGCTAATCTCAATAAGAAATTGAGAAAGCTTTAATTCATACAAAAACTTCTCATAAAGTAATTTAATACTTATTTCAGGGGCAAATTGGCAATGTTCAAAGGTTCGTTAATAGTTGGATGAAAAAACATCACTAAATATGTTAATACAATCTAAAATGTTATGTCCGAAACATTAAGTCCTCCAATATAATTATAAACCACATAATGAAACTTAATAACAACTAATCTCAAAGTAGATTAGTGGATAGTTCTCAGTGAAACAATTTTTCAAACAAACAATAAGTAATGTTTACACTGAGTAAAGTTTAATGAATCGCTTATCAACTATCTTTCTTTCTGGTACATACCTATGAAATGAGACAAAGGAACCAAAATTTTTTCAATAATCACAAGCATTTTCATAAGAAACCTCTTCATAAATATGTTTGATAACAAATGACACCAATTTCTTCTAAAGAAATTTTTAAAAATGCCACTGGTATAAGAAATAACATCTAGATCAACAACATAACTATGCACATATCTTGATTATCAATTCTTCAAGTGAAGTTGGAATAAACACATTTGACAAAGTAAATTACAAATGCAGGTTACTCTACTCATACTGGTTAAGAAACATTAAAAAATGATAATAAACGTGGTAATGCACCATGATAAATCTCATTTCTTAGTTCATAAAAAATCTTAGCTATCCAGAATGAAATCAAACAACACTTCACTGATAAAAACTGATTACAATCAATTCAGAGCATTTCAAAATAAAAGAAAGTCAAAACAATAATTCAGTGAGTAATTCAACTAAATAACGTGATGTTTAAAATAATACTAAAGAAAACGAGAATGAAATATAAAGATAAAAGGCATCCCAAAAAACTGTCTAAACATAAAGTAACCCTAATAACGAAAATAGCCGAAAGAATTAGACATATGTTCAATTACTAACCTTCATCTACCTCTGGGGAAACACAATATACGTTCAAAATTGTCAGATATATGAAGAGAGGAGAAGAGTATAACCCGCGAGTAAACAAACTAGTATACGATTACAAACCCCACGGCTAACTAGCAGCCAGAATTTGCTCTCAGCAGAAACATTCGCACAGTAACAAACGGCCAGACCTATCTGTTGGCAACCTCTGGAAATTATCCGCTCATTCAACTCTCTCCTATTCCCGCCATTTATTCAAATCTTATAATCCAATTCAATTTTACCAGGGGCAAAATCAATATTACATCTTTTTCAAATACATTATAACCTACACTCAAATATTACTTCCGTTTCCTAACAGGTATAATCTTTTTTTTTATTTTAAATTACTTATTTTTCTTAGTTTATCATTTATTATGTTATAGAATAACCATGAGTATATTAAAATTTAGAAGAAAAAAAAAATACTAAAATTCATTTAAATTATTTTAATTAATGTTATTTTTTAAATTGTTCTTCATCTCAGCAATGTAAACCCACCTGTGATGGGGGCATAGTCAAAGCTTCTAAACCCTGCTTATGAAACAATTGGTTAAAAAGGCACATTTCTGTTACTAGCACTGGAGACGAAAAAGCTTGGTAAACAATCACATAAAGATGGACTGTAACAAGTTCCTGCTAAAATAATTCCACCAATTGTAAAAAGTATCAAAATAGTTGTATTTGCCCATGAGAACCCAATCATTTCTGTAAAATAGTTAGTTCCTCCTCCGTAATTATCTCCAACGCCTTGTAATTCATCTGTCATTGCAGCCGAATTTTCATTACACAGAATTCTTCTTTGGGCACACTCATCTAATCCAGATCTGAAATTATTCAACATATATTAGAATATTTATACATTGAAAAAAAATGTATTATGTATCGAAGTTTTTTTGTTTATGATTAATAGTACTAGGAAATATAAATTTAACAACATATATTTTCATGTTAGTTGCATGAATATCATGTGAACCATTATTTTAACTCATTATGTTTTTTAAATGATTATCTTTTTAATCCATACTTATGTATTTCTTCTAATGATCAACTGACTGGTTCTCCCCTTTTAAATTTTGATTTTTATTAACCATAACTAATGAAAAAACAAAAAAAAATCTTATATTTTCTGATTCCTATCCTAAACACGAATATATTATTTTCAAAAAAATTGCATCACTAATAACTTGGTTTGTTGATTCATTATTATTTTTATACATTTCAACATTTCTTTCTTTATTTTTTTATATGATCTCAACTTCAACCACATGATGATTTACAGTAGAAGAATTATTTATATTTATTTTTAATAAATCATTTTGAAACTATTTAGCACATAAGCCCTAATGATATCCAGGGCCTCAATTGGAAAAATTACTTTCATAGTTTCAATAATTTTCAATATAAAGTATAATTTTTTTAAAGACTTAAGTAATAATAATAAGTGACCAATTGTTATTAATGGAACAAATTGGATTCCAAATGAACATAAAATACAATTTTTTAATTTTAATTATCCCAGTAAACAAATAAAAAATTCATAGTTATTAATGCATGTTATTACTCATAAAAAAATATGAATTCAACAATAACATGAGTTTTTATGAGAGGTTTGAAAATTGAGATTTCTTTCATATTTGATTTTTATTTTAATAATAGAACTGTGCATACAATTATTAAATAATTTAGTCTTAGCCTACTTGATTAATAATTTATCATTTAAAACTAAATCTTATAGCTGAAGGAGGTTATATTTTAGGTATGAATTTTATTAATTGAAGTAGTTTTGAAATCACATTTTGATGCATGAAAATCAATTTCTTAATACAATATTTGTATATTTTTTAAACCATTGTGCTTTTTATATTTAATAGGTTATTATCAAATCATCTCTGTAATTTAAAACAAATTTAATATGGTTTTAGGAATTCTTAAGTAATAAAATACCTGAACATATAATGCTGAAAGGTATTGTAACACCACAAATATATGAGATATATATGACATGAAATTTTCAAGTAAATTTTAATGGCTCCAAATCACATAATCAGTTTGTCTTTACTGACTAAATTGCAATTTCATTATGTTATTTAGTATTATTTGAATTAAGTCTAACCTCCAATCACTTCTTTCATTTCTTAGCCTGTTTATTTGGTTTTTTACCAAATCTATGAAACACAGTTTAAACCCCTTAATGATTGTCTTTTCTGTGTTAAGGTCAAAATGTTCATAAGCCTCTGTGATCTTACGATACACAGAGTCACACATACTATATACTCCGAGACATATATCAAAGATTTTGATGGGTCACATGATTGTAATAAAACATCTTATAGATCATAAATTTATTTAATTTACAGCACCAAAATTTCATGATCATTGAGAACAGAACATATGTTTATAAGAATAAATATGATTGTTTTATGTTACAATAAATATGTTAAAAATAATTTGTTTTAAGTTATTGTTATAAAATTCAAGAAGGGTAGAAATATAGATTTCATATTTTAACTCCTCCAATAGAAATTAAAAAAATAAATAAAATAAAATAAATAAATAAACAAAACATAATCTGTGGAAGTCAATTTTCATAAATACAATTATTTTCCCCTATGTTAAAGAAGTTTTATCATTAAACTTACATTATAAATACATCATTATTAAATTTGGTTAGTTTAATATTTGTATATTTAGTTTAAAAATAACTACAGCATTTTTTAGAAATATACTATTCAATAAAATTTGTTATACCATATATACCATTCAATTAGAATTTGTATTTATAATAAATAAAACAAAACATTCTGAGAGAATGAGGGCAGGGATGCTCATAAGGAGGTTGTATGGTGCAAGTCGTGCCATCAAAATTTTTAGGGGCACTTTTGTACAGGTTGTTATTTTTTGTAGGGAATCATATTTTTGTAAGTTTTAAATTTAAAAAAACTTTCAAACCAGAGAATAAAGAAAAAAAGCCACTCTGAGGTTTAAGTATATGTAGACAAATATATAAGGGTATCGCATGTTTGGAAGGCTGGCAGATATAACTTTGTTGTATGTACTGTACACAACCAGTGTATTGTTTTCTCTATTTCTAGTTTGAGCATATTATGAGCGCAGTATGAACAATATTATAAATACATGTTTAATGAACATTCTTCTTCTTCTTAATCCTTTCCTCTCCTACCGCTGAGCGGTGTGAGGAGCCTTCTTGTAGAACCAAATCCACAACTCTCGGTCCTGAGCCAACTGCCGCCTCCTCCTCCAGTCAATATCCCTTCTGTCAAAGGCCTCCTTGACACTGACCTCCCAGGTCTTCCTGGGCCTTACCTGAGATCTTTTTCCATCAAATTTACTTTCCAACGCTATCATAGCCATTCGATTCTTTGGCATTTGAGAGACATGACCAAACCATCTCAAACGATTTTCCTCCATCACAGTTTCGGCTGATCTTACGTTTAGATTTTTCTGTATTAAGGAGTTACTTGTGCGATCTCTCTTTGTTTTTCCTTCGACCCTGTGCAGGAACCGCATCTCCATGGCATGAATCTGACTGATGTGTTTTGTGGTGAGGGTCCATGACAAGCTGGAGTAGGTCATTATCGGGAAGAAAGTATTTTTGTACACTGTCGTTTTGGTCTCCTTGCTCACTTCTCTCTTGTTCAAGAATCGTTTCTTGATGGCGTTGAAGCACCTTCCTACAGACTTCACTCTTTCCTCTATTTCTCCGTCAATCCATCCATCCATGTTCATTGATGTGGGCACCGAGGTATTTAAAATTTTTCACTTGTTCCAATGGAACTCCACTCAAGTGCACTATTCTGTCTCCTCTTCCTTGTTTTTTGCCAATCCTCATAGTTTTGGTTCTTTCCACATTTATTTACATATTTATCTTATTGAATTCTTCCTGAAGAATGCGGAGGTTGAATTGCAGGTTTTGTCCATCGCTTCTGAAAACCACCAAATCGTCTGCATAAGCGAACAGTGAGAAAAATACAGGCTGTAGATTTCTGTATCCTATTTGATATGATCTCATATTTTGTTTTGCTATTTTTATTGCATTGTCTAGTACTAGTGTAAACAGCAGAGGACTTAGACTGCACCCTTGCCTAATATCTTGATTAGTTGTCAACTCTTCTGATATATTATTACATGTTCTCACAACATTTCTTTGGGTCTTATAGAGATTTAGAATTGCCTTACGAAGGCCCGTTTCGATGCCATTGTCTTCTAAGACTTTTGCTATGTCTTGCTTTGTCATGCTATGGCATATCACTCGGTCAAATGCCTTAGTGAGGTTTACAAAACAAGCATATATCTCTTTGTCCCTTTCTATTAATTTTTCAGAAATTTGTCTTAAAGTAAATATGAGATCCTGGGTACTTCTATTTGGCCTAAATCCATATTGTTCTTCACTCTGGGAGGATTCCGCTGTTCTTCGTAGGCGTCTCTCTAAAATCTTTGAGTATATTTTACTCGGGACACTAAGAAGAGATATCCCCCGGTGGTTTTTACATTCTCTGTTGTCCCCTTTCTTAAATATTGGTACTATAACAGATACTTCCCAATCCTTTGGAATGTTCTTTGATTTCCACATGAGGTTTAGAATGTGCTGGAATCATTTCAGGGGCAATCCTATCTATTTCTGCTGCTCTTCCTGTTTTCAGTGAGACTATAGCATTTAAAATTTCTTCTTAATCGATAAAATCTTCTTCCAACTCGATCACGTTTGACTGCCCAGCTTCTTGATTTGCGTCTTCAGTATTTTCGTTCAAAAGTTCCTTTTGTATTCAGCCCATTTCTGTATGATTCCTTTGTTGCTTGTTAGGATATTTCCTTTCTTATTGTTTATTCGCTCTGATACTCTTTAGTTTGTTTCATAAGATAGGTCTCGGGCAAGTAATTTATGATCCTACTGTGCCCAGAAACTGATGGAGGGATTGCCTTTAGAGCTTTCAGATCAGCTCTCCCATTAGTTCACGGGGAAGATGTTATACCACCACTACTGACCTGAGACGGTGTTTTATTCCTAAGAATACACCCATTCTGGCTGTAATGGGACCCTCCTCCTTTACCAGGGCTTGGGACCTGCAGCTATATCTAGCTGGCAGAATTGGTTGTTTTTTATTTAGGTGCAACATCCTTAAGTCTCACAAGTAGGTCAGGAAAAAACAGGTTATTCTACAGGCAACAACCTATTCTAGCCAAAGTGGGAAAGTCGAGATTAAGTTGGAACCACTTTCACTCTGTTTGCCAAGTGGCACTCCCCATGGTGAAAACTGATAATGGAAACATGGATCGGAATACATAAAAAATCAATCAGAACAACCAGCAGTATTTAATTCACTTCAATGTCTTTGGAACAAAATAAATATACCTTGCTACAACTGTAGAAAATTTCTATTTTAAAAGTTCCTATTTTTTGTAGCAATCTAATTCAATAGTAATTGCTTTTAATTAATGAAAAACTGGAAATGTTGATAGGAGTTGTTTCTAATAATCCAATACATCATAACCAGTATAAGAGCATAATATTTTAATTTTAAGTCCTGCCAATGTACTGAAACCTTATACTAATTGGCTGGAAACAAATGTGCAAAATCACATCACTTTATCTTTAAGATTGTTCATTAAGAGTTAATGTTCAGAAAATGGGGGGGAAAAAGAATTTCTTTGGAACTGGATTAAGAGAAAATATGTTTTGATTTGATGAGTTTTGATTCCTTTGTAATATAATGCTTCCGCTTATAAACAATATTAGAGAATAATTATGCAGCAAGCTAGAGGACAATTGTGCAGCAATATTAGAGAATAATTATGCAGCAGAGTCCAACAAATACTCATATACAAATATGTATTTCATGGGTTACTACCAGATCCGGCACCATGAAAACCATGATCTTTAGCATCGAGAGATTTGGTGGCATTATACATCTATAAGAAGACCACATCGTGCAGCAACAACCCGTCTAAGTCCAAATGATGGTTGTTGAATTCTGTAACTGATCAACAATGCGAAATTTGCTAAGCAGTTCTTGATAATCAGTTCTAAGCAATTATTCGGTATTATTAAAGTTTGAAATGATTAAATTAACAAAAATAATATAAAACTCATTAACAAAAATATAAACCATATATTCTCTTCCCGTTCCCTACCTTGTCATGCATTCTTTCCAAAAAGTGGGACTTTTTTTTTAAAATTTCGCAGGACATGGAAAAAATTGTTAAAAATTGGGACTGTTCCGCCAAAAGCGGGACCTCTGTTCACCTTAGTCTACAACCAAATCTAATATAATATAACTGTTATTCCACCATTTTAAATGATAACTAAACCACTTACTGATATTTTAGTTAGTCCAGAAATTTCAATTAGTATGTGAACAATTGCAGTTTCAGAAAAAAATATTTTTTTTTCCTTATTAGGTGTATTTAATAATAACTACACAAAAAGTATTTACTTGTCATAAAAAAACATATTAAACAATATCAATGTCTTAATATCGACAAGATTATTTTAATTAAAAATAAATAATATTTGCAAAAATTATTTAAGAGTATAGTTTCAATAATTTTTTTGTTAAAAAGAGCTTTAATTACGTTTTAGTTTTTGCAGTAATAGGTAATAAATGTAAATAAAATTGTTTTTATTTTCACTATTTTTTATGATGTTCCTTTTATGTTGTAGCAAGAACTAACTAACTTTTTACCAATTGTGATTCTTGGCATAAAATACTGTACTAAACACACCTATAGTATGAAAAATTGTATTTATGTTTCTTCAAATAGAATAAAAAAATATATTAAGATTGAAATAAAATAAACATGCTGAATTTATTCAATAAAATTGATTTATGATCAAATTGATTTAATAATCTGATGATAAGAGGTTTAGCACAAGATACCATTTATTTCCTTGACCTCTATTATAAATTATAAGAACAGTGGTGTGAAAACAAATCCTTGTATCATTAGCAATGGTAAGCTTTCACTTCAGGCCATGGTTATATAGCCAATAAGGCTTTGATTTCCAATCAATCAAACTTTCTTTCTAGGTAGGATCATTTACCGATATTGTATAAATGTAAGTTTCCTGAACATTTATTCATTCATATTTTAAAAGCTTTCATAAAATTTATATTAGATTATCAGGCATACCTATATGCATCAGCAATTTATTTTTCATATCTATGAACAAAAAAAAAAAAAAAAAAAATACTATATTTCCAATTTAGAAAATTTAACAAATAAAATAAATGATTCTGGTCATTGAAAAGCCAATTAAAAAAACCGAATGAAGTTGAAATACTACATATTAACTTGTGAGTTCTATGGGAAAAAAAAATTGTTATACAAACAAATGATGTAGGTTATAGAAAAGTTTTTATTTTTCATATTAATTTATTATAATAAAATTAACTAGTAAAAATGTTTTAGGATTGCAGGAATTTTGCAAAAGTTAGAATTACAAAATGAATTTATTGATCTTACATAAGTGTTACATAGCTATACAAATCTTACAAAAAATATAATCAATTGCACATTTTACTATTTATAAAATATGTAAATTCATAAGATTCTAATTCAAATGTAAATTAATAGATAAGTTAGTGTTTATTATAATAATTGAGATTTCTGAAAATATTCAATGATAATTAATAAAAACTATATTTTAATATATTAAAAGTATATACTACATAGGAGTTTGGTTTGATTGTACATTGATAAAACTCGCATATCAAAACAATCACCATAGTATTTTATGGTAATATTGTTTTGGTTATTTTTTATTTATTTTTTTAATAGTATTTTACAAATATAGGTGTAGAGATGGTTGACCATGATATAATAAGAGAAGGAGTTGGTTGGGGAGTGCAGTCAAATAAATACTAAATTGTTAAAATAAAATACTAATACGAATAAAATACTGATACGAATAAAATACTATTTTAACAATTTAGTATTTATTTGACCTTCCCCTATAGTTTCAACTATTCCCAACTATAGTTTAAAGGTTTAAAATGTACGTTTTGCATTATTTTTAGAAATGGGAGAGGGATGCATGATTAATTGTCTGGGATTTATTTTCCTCAAACATTTATGATAAAAAAAAAAAGAATATTTGAATTAGGCAGTAATTTCCATTCATTTAATATAATTCATGGCTAAAGTAGAACTGATTGAGATTGCCTAAAAAAGTGTTAAATTTTCACTTTGGCTGTTTATTGCTTATTCAGTCTTCAACAGGATTGAAAACCATAAAACCAAATTTCATACCTTTTATTTGTTGAGAAATGGGAGAATTTTCATTGAGGGACCCCGTTGACCACACCTTGACCAGTAAAGCTAGTTGTTCATCGAGGAATTACAGGTTTGATTCATCCTCTCTCTCAACTTTTGTCATGAATTATTTCATACTTATACATTTCATCTGAAGATCTTTTAAGCCTTGGACCACAACTCCGTATTGAAAGTAGTTTTAATTAGCCAGTATATGATCAACTGCATAAATATTTGCAAAAATTGGTCAGGATAACTAATGATTTAATAGAATAATTATCAAACAATAAATAAGATTCTATCTGCCTAGAACTAGCTATCTTTAAAATTGTGCAGGACAAATTAAGCAGTTAAACTTATCAATTATTTAACTTATGAGACCCTGAAACATTTAAAAGTAGTTCTATTTTGATTCAGAATTTTAAAAAATATATTAACCAATTACCGCAAATAATAGAAAAAGTAAATTTGATATATAAATTAATGAAGAAGAAATAGCATAAATATATTAATATTATGACTATGAAATCATAAATATGCTGAAACATATGCTCAATAAATTACCATCCTGAAGTGTAAAATATTTGTTGATAGAAACTTCAGTGTAATCTGTTTGTTAATGAACAAATTTTCTCTTGGTAAATTGTTCAGTAAATACAGTGTAAGAGATATGTAATGACAAAAGAAAAGTTTATCAATTTAACATTATTAATAGGTTTGAAGCTGGAGAATATTAAATATGAAGTCAATTTAAAAATATGAAATACTTTTAAAATCTAAAATTAAATGTAGCAGCTTAAAAATTACATTCATTTTCTATTAGTACACTTCTATTTCATGTACTATATAAATATATAGTAATTTAGTTAGACTCTTACAATTTTTATTTCTTAGTTTACAAAATTACAATTACATATAAACTTTTTTTTTTGTGGCCATGCCTCACATTATCTTTTTTTTAGTATTTTTGTGTGTATTTAATGCCACATATTCTCTAAACTGTAAACTATTAATATGATTGATAACCACTCATGAACACTAAAATTCCTTATACCATAAATTAAAAAATAATTCTATTTTTAATTTATATATCCATGAGATAAATGGAATGAAAAACGTCCTGAGGGTCTAAAGATGTCTGTTGAAAAGAAAACTTGAAATACTGGTTTTCTATTTTGCAAATGCTATTTGATCTACCCATGATAAATTATTCACCAACTTATATATTTTATATAATGCAGGAATCATTATTCAATAATTCCCTTTAATACAAATTTTTAATTTTTCAAGTGGATTAATAATGTAATTTTTTAATAAAGAATGTATCCATTCTGTATTGTGTCCACTTTAGTACTTAATTGAATTACATCCTGAACTCTTCATTTTATTAGGTAACCTCACTCAAATGTTTTACTTTCAGTTTTATTTTTCAGATATTGTTTCAACATTTTAAATTTCGCGGCGGAAATGATATCTTTAAGTACATACGTTGTTTTGATATTTAAGATAGGAATGGTTTTTTATCTACTAGAGCGCTCTCAAACACCTGCCCAAGCTTATCAACAGCCAAACATGGATAACAGTAGTTCACCTACACTTGCTAATGTAAGTTGGAACAATTTAATTTTATATAGACGCAATTTTAAGGACTTAATGCATAACTATTGTTTAATTTTATTATTTAAATCGTTCTACAATTAAAAATAATTATATATTACATTTTGATATCATTCAAATTATAATAATGGTTAAAAATGTTAATTATTTTATAATTTTGTTTTAGTATGATAAACAATGGAAAAATAATGCAATTTTACCTAATGATACCATCCCTTCTCATTATAATTTATTTTTGAATCCTGACTTGCAAAATGGTACATTTAGTGGAGAAGTTGACATTACTGTTAATGTCACTAAACAAAGACATTATTTACTACTGCATATACATGAATTGGAAATAATTAAGACTTCGGTTTACAATGAAGCTGGATCGGAAATTGAAATATATGATTCATTCAGCTATCCTGAAAACCAGTATTGGGTAATTCTTTTGAAAGAAAATGTTAACCCTGGAAAGTATGTTATCAAGATTCAGTTTAATGGATCGTTAACTGGTAAAATAGTTGGCTTCTATAGAAGTACTTATATTGCTGAAGATGGGAGTAAAAGGTTACTATAGCAATTAAATAATATAGTTTTTGTGCCATAGCATAACTTTTTTGCTTGCGTAGTATAGCCATTTATTTTGTTACCTTAATATAAACAAAGGTTGGTTATGTTTTAGATATATTGCCACAACCAAGTTTGAACCTACTTATGCTAGAAAAGCATTTCCCTGCTTTGATGAACCTAGATACAAAGCATCATTTACTGTCCACATTACTAGGCCATCAGACAATAAATATATTGCTTTATCAAATATGAATCAAGTTGTAAGTATTAAAATTTATAAATATTCTTTCTGTAGTAATTAATTTGTAAATGTCATGTTTATCATTCATATTTTATGTCAAAATTTTGAGATTCTTTCCTCATTTCCAGGATTAAACTTTCTATAATATTTTACATGTTCTAAATATCTGTTATTGATAAGAAATTAAATTTATTCTTATTATTTATTTTGCATTATACATTATTGCATTATACAGTTTTGCATTATTTGAACTTTATATATGATATTTATATACACATATATTGCATATAATTTCATCTTCCTAAATCATTGAAAATTTTACAATAAATACCCTTTTATTTTTATGACATATTATCAGTGTTTATAGAACATTACTTTCACAAGATAGCTTTATTGGTTCTGGAATTAGTAATGTATTAACTTTTAACTTTATATAGTCATAATTTGTTTGTTTTTTAAATATCAATTTTAATTTTAACTGGTCTTAGTATTATTCCTTGAATGCATATTTTACTTTTTAAGATGAGTTTCAATAAGGTGCAATAAATTAAAATTGTTTGATTGATGCTAACAGTTTAATTAACATTTTTTTAAATGTCTATTAGGTTGTCGTGTTATCAAATATATTGATTAACACTTCTTTTAACCTTTTGTTTAGTTTATATTACTTAATTTTTGTGTTAATTAAAAAATATACTATTATTATGATTTATTTTAATGCTTTGTTTGGAACATTAAACATTTCATATTAAGGAAAGATATTGGTCTCATGGACTATTCAGTCCTTGAAATTTTGTTTTTTCCTATGTTTTGGAACTTTACACTGCATTATTTTTGAAACAAAATTAAAAAAAAAAAGAAAGAAAAACTAGATAGGTAGTAATTTTTTTTAATGAAAAAAATAAATCTTCTTTGAAACAGCCTGGCACACCCATGACCTAAATAACTGTTGAATTTATTGCTATGTGTTTTTAGTTTCTGTTTGCCCTTTTGATTGTTTAAATGGTGTAACCTGCTATGAGAGAATACTTACAAGGAAGATTACAGATGTGCGGTCACCGATTTCAATGAGACTTTTTTTTTGTGATATTAGGTTGAAAATTATTAGACCCATGTCCAAGGATTCTTGCCAATACTCCCCAAGCCGAGAAAACAATTTTTATATTACTGTTTTCTAACTTTGCTCTGTATGGATTTTTAAGTAATTATACATCGATCGATTTGTTTCTTTGTGCAAATTAAGAAATAGATATTCATAATTGTATTCAATGATTTCTAATGCGTAATAAATTACAAAAATTCAAAGAGCCTTCCAGTAAAGTAGGCCTAGTAAATTTTTGTCATGAAAAAACAATTCAGATTCGTTTTTAGGGCCCACTTTACTCATAAATACTTATTTTAGATTTTAAATACTTAGTTAATTTTGAAACTAAAAAATATAAATTTTTGGACTTAATTTTTAAGTAGGAATTTTTTTCATGTCGTTTACTGCATTATTTATAACTCCTCAGGATATTCTGCCAAGTAGACGTTACTACAACAGTTGGAAAGCTAAATTATTGTTCTTTAAAATCATAACAACTTTTAGATATTATGCCTTTATAAGGAATAAAAAACCTCCCAAAAGTTTTTATTTTATATCTCCAAGGCTAATTTATTTGTGGCCTACTGGTTTGTGCCATTTTATGCATATTATATGGCCCTGGTACTGGTATTGGTGGGGAGGCTAAGTCTAGCAAGTGGGCCTATTGGTTCTTTTTGCCAACACCGAAGACATTTTTTTTTATTTCAAAACAAGTTCGTATTTAAGTGGAGTCTAAAAACGAATCTGAATCGTTTTTTCATGATAAAAATTTACTTTCCCTACTTTTTAAGTCCACTGAAAACCTCTATTGGTTTTTGTAATGTATTATACATTAGAAATTGTTTAATGCAATTAGCTATATGTATTTCTTATTTTACACAAAAAAACAAATTAATTGATATTTAATAAATTAGAAATACCTGCAGAGAAAAATCAGAAAACAGTAATTTAAAATAATAATATAATTTTATAAAATATTTTTTCTCTCGGCTCCTGGGACATGTTGGCAAGAACCCTCGAACACCAGTCTAATATTTTTCAACCTAATATCATCAAGAAAAGTTTCATTGAAATTGGTGACCTCACATTTGTAATCTTCCTTTGTTAGCCGCACCAGTGTCAATATGTTTATTTCAAGTATACCCTTAAGTTATTCGGTAATTTTTTGTATCATCGCCTGAAGTTAAATTCCTGTCTTAGTAATTTGTTTTTAATTGTTTCGATATTCTTGCTGTTCTTACATTACCAAGAATAATTTATTTAGAAAAAAAGATGTTGTTTTAAACCATTAATTAGGCAATTATAATTTGATTATAGGTTAATTGTCTTCATACCACTGTAATTTAACTAGTATTGGAAATGTAGATAATTGTTTCTGAAGCAAATTGTTTATCTTCCATTCGTAAAACAGTTGTCTGAGCAATAAATTGTTAAGTTATTTAACACATGGGTGTACTGGACTGTTACAAAGAATTTTTTCTTTCCATTAAACAAAAATAATACCAATTACGAACATTATGGTCCAAGATTTAACCAGTGATTGCTAGTATTTTCCCTATTTTGCTCTTTAGTTAGTGTTTTCAGAGCAGTTAATATGCCGTAATCATTTTACAAACCAATGTTCTGGTCGTTGGGTTAATATGAAGTATTGGAAAGTTTTCTATTTCTATTTACTTTTGATTTTCAGAATGAAGAGCCTGATGTACCATCTGTTGGTCTTACTAAAGTTTCTTTTGCACCTTCGCCACCCATGTCAACTTACCTAGCCTGCTTTATCGTCTGTGATTTCGAACACTTAGAATCTGTTCGCACTGACCAAGGAATTCCTATAACTTTGTATGCCCGTGCTAGTCAGCTAAATAACACAAAATTTTCTAGAGATATAGCCCAACAAGTCATGAATCACTTTGTTAAATATTTTGACATTGAATACCCTCTTCCAAAAATTGGTAAGATCTTTGGTTTCTATGAAGTTTTTCATTTTATGTGGTAATTTTCATAAATTTATTAAACAATTAAAAACTATACATCTCTTGGAATATTTCAATCATCATTTGAAAGTTAAATTAAATTGTCTTCAATGTTAAATTAAAAACAAAATAAAAATGTTTTATGACTAATTTTAATGAAGGTATAACTAACAATGTTTATATTTGACTTCACAATTAAAGCAGTAAGAAAAGACAAATGGCTGGATGTTTTTTTTACTTTTACTTACAGAACATGAGTGATTCTTCATTCTTACCACTCGTACTTTTTTTGTGTCTATATTATTAACATGTTAAGCTATAATGCACAATTTAGTCCAAAACAATATTTTGTAGTATTTTTTATTTTTGTACCATTAATACCTTTCAAGTTGTACTTCTCACTTATATTGTCTGATTTTTTATTGATTGAAATATATTTAATTATATTATCCATGTGTTAAAAAATGTTTCCTGTTTTTTACAGACTTAATAGCCATTCCTGATTTTGTTTCTGGTGCAATGGAAAATTGGGGGTTGATTACTTTTCGTGAAACAAGTGTACTCGTTGCTCCTGACGATAGTATTTCTAATCAACAGGTTTGTGCAGATACTGTCACTCACGAACTGGCACATATGTGGTTTGGGGATTTAGGTATGTATACAAATAAATTATTACTCTGTATGCTATTAAAGAAAAATGCAAACATGTTTAGTTTTTAACACGTTAGCTGCTGAGCATGATGTCTCTTAAATGTCTTTCCCAATGATATCGGTCCCCGGTGAATGACACTAGTTATGAAGTTCTTAACGGCATTGGACGTTACGGACATACATCAGTTTCGAAGTATACCGCTGTCTGTGTCTTTATCTATTGATTGTGTCCTCATTAATGGCCAGCAATCATAGTAGTGGACTCGACGTCCGATGCTGCTTATATGACGAGTTTTTTATTATTTCTCTTTATTTCAGTAAAAAAGTGTTATTTTTAGGAATATAAATCTTAAATATTGAAAACTAAATGAGAAAAAGTTTATTTATTATATATATTTATAATTTTAATGATATAGTTTGTACATTATTTGTGTAATACTTTTTCAATGTCATGATCAAAATGGAATATAAAAAATCAAAGTTATATAATAAGTACCATATTGTGGTAATGTATTCACTATTACATTGGAATTTATTTTAAGAAAAGGAAAACTGAAAGTGAAGTATTAAGATGCTAACTGCTTGTGATACTTATTGAAGTGCGACAAACAGAATCCGGACATACTATCACAATCATCGCAGAGACTAGTAATTTTCCGTGTTTTCTTATTTGCCGCCTTATTTCCTATGGTCTTTTTCAGTTCTCTCTAGCATTCTCTGTACCACTTTCGCTGTTTCTTCCCTCACCTTAAGAATGGACACGACACATCAGATGTGGTGACGGTGGTCCGTGCTGAGTTGCGAGTTTATAAGCGAAAACCAATCGGAACTTTGTTATTGATATGGGTTTTTATTTTTTCATGGAAAAGATGATCCAAGATTTTACCACCGATGTTCCAAACATTATTTCCTCAAGCCATCAATATTTCCTTGCTACCTTCCTATACCAAGCCATTAGAACACGGCGACCTGCCTATATTCTACAGATCATACAATTCAAATGCTCCTTTCAATCCCGTCCCACCAGATCCCGTGCGTCCGACCTCTATCCTCCTCACCAAACTGCTGTATTTGATAAATCCTTTTTAATACAAGTTGTCTCCCTCTGGAACTCTATACCTTCAGATATACGACACGCAAAATCAATATCCTCTTTCCAATCTCTCCTCTTCAAACACCTACTCCATTCCCAATTCGATTGATCACGAAATGCACTTAAAAACCTAAGCTGTAAAAACCTCAAAGTACACTCACATACTCAGATTATTTTGTGATTCATTGATATTTCGTTTACTTAATTACTTTCTCTGTATATTTTATATTTACAGTATAAAATATACTGTATTTACAGTATTAAAATATACTATATTATACTGTAAAATACACGTATTTATATCTTTTTATTATTTATAACTTTATTGCATTTCTAATCAACTTTTTTTTTTCTTTTTTTTTTTGGGATCCTTCCCTTCCTCGCCGTTAAGGCTATATTTCCCCGGCCAGGGGATGTGGGCAGGGATTTTAAAAGACTCCCCCGGCACCGGGACGCGAACTCGTGACTATTTTTATCTTTGATTCATATGTCAGGTTGCCGGGCAACGGCGGTGCAGTGCACACGCTTTAGCCCATTCGACCACCCCGCCCACATTCCTAATCAACCTGTAAATATTAAATTGTATTTCATGGAAACACCAAAATATTAATATATATTCTGTATTTGTAACTTGTTCTAAAGGGACACTAGTCCCAGAATAATAAAATTATTTTCATTCGTTCATTATCTCAATCACCATGCATGTGCACTGTCCTGTCACGGCAGAAATATGTATTGGACGTTGGAGGCTTATACAGAGGGAAATCATTTTTTTCAGTCTGGTACTGTATTGGTCCCCAGCGTCTTGTAGCTTTATATCAGGTATAATAATTATTTAAATTTGTATCTTTATACCTTTCCAACTCCCATCAACATATTTTTAAAAATGACCAATTTAGAGACTTTGGAAGATAGACAAAATTCTTAACAATCCCGGCTGTTTGGCAGTCGAGACGATATCGGATCCCAGAGACCGTAACCGCAGCTAACGTGTTAAATTAAGTTTTGAAACAGTAGAGTAGAAGATAAAAATCATTTTTATTCAATTACAATCTGTAATATGAATCAAAGTGGCTTTATCTATTAAAGTTTTTTTTTTTTTTTTTTTTTCAAATCCATACTGCCAATTGTTCAGCCATAAAAGCCTTCCTATACACACTCCAGCTCGACATTATTACAATCAATCTATTCCTGAAATAATAGATCCCATACTGATAAATGTTCTTTATCTCAGAACCTTGAAATTGGACTTCTTGATTATGTATGTATCATCATTCACTTTGTTTTGTTGAATTTTTTTAGTTACAATGGCTTGGTGGGATGATCTATGGCTAAATGAGGGATTTGCTACATTTTTGAGCCAAAAATTTGTCGGAATAGTAAAAGAAAACCTTTTTTCAGTAAGCATTAATTTTTATCTATTCTTTTAATTATTTTTATTTATTGGACTATTTAATAATGACTCCATTGATTTTTCAGCCAATGAAATTTGTGATCAACCAAGTACAATCTGTGTTGGAAGATGATGCTGCACTTTCATCTCATCCGATCATACAGCCAGTTAACCATCCAGATCAGATTACAGAAATATTTGATATAATATCATATAGTAAGGTATGCTTATTTTTATGGTGAAGCTGTATGTTCATTGTTTCTAATGCAAGCTTAGAAAATACTCATTTCTTAATTATCTAATATATATATATTATATATTAAGTTGTTCTTATAGAGAAAAGTAAGCTCTCAACTTCATGTTTTGAAAAACAGCGGAAATTTCCACCATTTGCTTTGTAGTTTTCTTATATTTTTATTGTATTTAAATTATACTGTTATAAAAAAAAATACATAAGAATAAAATTATTATTATTTACATAGGTAACAATTTAGAGTTAGTGTGTACACGTGAAATTAACCAATAGTATTTTTTTACTTATTATGCCGTTCTATTTCTTTGTAATTTTCTTCATTATTTTTCTCTTTATATATCATATGTAGTAAGGGAAAGTATTGTGATTTTGAAAATTTTTTAATCTGAATTTTCAACAGAAATACATATTTTTCTGATGGGACGAGGTCCCCTAAGTCCTAATAACCAAGTTTCACAAAATGATCTGTGTGTGTGTGTGTGAATCCTAGCTCAAAAATGAAATGTCTTAAGAAACCGAAATTACGTATTTAAGGTATTTTAAATGGCTCGGATGTTACAGCAACTATTTCACTAAAATCAACTTACTGGAAGTGGCACTTTATATCAGTAAATATACATATTTTTTAAATTTTCTTAAAACCGGCTCCAATGATTTTTGTTTAATTCATTATATCAGTATAAAAATAGGTTGCCTTTAACTTTAGGTAGGTACCGAGTTTTCAAAATTTCTTCCTCTAAAGTATCTTTGATTTTTTACTTTCACTTACGTATATATGAAATATATAGGAAAGGAAATTATTAGAATCGTGAACATTTTTGAATCACAGTTTTCAATCGAAATGCATATTTTAAGATCTCCTGAGTCCAAATAACCAAGTTTCACAAAATGGTCTATATCTGTGTATGTGTGTCATAACAGTCTAGCTCAAAAAGAAAAAGTTGAACAAAAGTGAAATTGCATATTTAAGGTTTGTATATACCTTGGATGTTACAGCAACTTTTTTTGTCAAAATCAGCTATCTGAAATTGGCAATTCATATCATTGATTTAACAAATTTTTACAATTTTCTCTAGAACGGCTCTAACGGTTTTGATTAAATTCATCATGTCTATGTAAAATCAAGTAGTTTTTAATATAATGTAGGTTTTGTTCTCATTGATGTTCTCTAAGAGGGCATAAATGGCTAATTATCAATATTTATTCCTTATTACTAAAGTATCTTTATTTATTTTTATTTGAAATAATTAACTATTTCGCATTAAACTCGGATATAAAAAATAGTTAAATCATAAAATATGAAAGAATTTCATAATTAACTAAAGGAGAAATAAGTGATCGTAACGGAGTATAGTCGTAAACATAAGCACTTTTTTATATAAAAAATATTTGAAAAATCATTATTTTTAAATTGTTTATTTTTATAAACAAAATGTGTTTTTAGGCAATTATGTTTATTGCAATACATGCCATATCACAGAAAAACAAGAAATAATTCCTATAATACACTGAGATACCTATGTGTATGTTTAAAAAGAAATTTGGAAATACCTATTTCTGTTCAAAATAGTGTGGTAAGTGAACGTAGTGTGTTGCATGTATCACTCCAGATTTTTAAAATAAAACATGGTTTTGAAGGGCTGTCAGATCTAGAAATTTATTACTGAGAAACATACCATATATCACCTTATATGGCACATAATGCATAGATTGATGAGGGTGAAAAACAAACGAATTCAAATGAAATAATGTATATTATTACTTGGACAAGTTAAAATGCTTAACATGATGTTTGTTCACTCCAGCATGAGGAAAATTGTTTACTCATGTGGCTCCGATGCTTTTATTTCCTTCTCCCCTTCCTCATCTTTTCGGCCATATGGGTTTTTCCCTGGTTAGGAAAGAGGGCGGGGCTAGAGTTCAAAGTCCTCCCGACACTGGGTTTTGAACTCGTAATCTTTGGTTTATGAGTTTGCTGGGCAAACACGTATTTCCCATCCCTAAAAAATCTGGTGCGCGCAACACACAACTTTCACTTACCGATCTACTTTGAATAGAAATTATTTTCTGGCAATGCTGGGCTATTATAAAATTTCTTGAAGTGCATTTTAAACGTAGCTAAAGCTTAAAGCTTACAGATAACAAGTCATTAAGACCATTATAATTACAAAATGTCTATTTAATATATCGACGACAGGCAATAAAAATCTAGTCACTCCATCTGCTTTTATAAACCACTCAACTTTCTTTGCTTTTATAAACCACAGAATGACTAACTCCAATTTCAACTAAATTGAGTGATGTCATTTTAGTGATATTTTTAGTTGAAAAAGTTATCTATGCAGACAATGAGTAAGTTGATCCCAGAAGTGGTGATTGCAGTGTGAAATATAGAACTGAAAATAAAGGTATAAATTTAGGTACATATTTCTTATAAAAGATGTTCTTAGGAAAGACACTTTATTAAATATCTCTAGAAAAAAGATTTTTTTAGTCTCAACAATTAAAAAAATATATTTTAAATTTATCCAAATTTTCGCCTCTTCAGGGAAAAAAACTAGAGACCATATCTTTCCTCCTAATTGTCCGATTTTAACGATTTTTTTTTGTTTTTTTTAGGAAATTCCATAAACTTTTAAAAAACCATATACAATATCCCCAAAAAAGCGTATACTTTTTGAGTTATTCGGAATTTAATTTTAACATCCCTCGTAACTTTTTTTCCAGCTTCTTTTCGTTGAAGTATGTTATATAGATAAATTTAAAGGGTATCGAGAAAATGACTTTAGCGAAGTTTCATTGAAATCGGTACATTCGTTTAGGCGCTACAGTCTATAGCAACGCAGGTTTTTCTGCATTTTTTTTTCTCCTTTATTAACTTATCAAATTCTTTCAAAAGTTATATGTAGCATTTTTTCGTAACTCTGAATAATGCGAAATGGTTAACTTTTTAAAATAAACCATATTAAAGGTACTTTAGAGGAAGACATATATGAACATTGGGCATTTAAGCCCTGTAAAGTGACATCAACGGGGATAAGACCTAAATGATATTAAAGACCACTTAATTATACAATGATACACCGAGTTTGATCAAAATCGTTAGAGCCGTTTTTGAGAAAATTGTAAAAATGTGTTTCAGCGTTCATATAAAGTGGCACTTCCGGTTAGCCGATTTTAACGAAAAAGTTGCTGTCACATCCGGCCCATATACAAACCTTAAATACTTAATATCAGTTTCGTACTACTTTTCGTTTATGAGCTAGACTGTTAACACACACAGACCATTTTGCGACACTTGGTTATTTGAACACAGGGGACCTCAAAACATGTATTTCTGTTGAAAACTAAGATTCGAAAATTTTCACGATCGCAATATTTACCCTTACTATATATTACATATATACGTAAGTGAAAGTAAAAAAATGTTGGGCTCAGAAATATTTATCAGTTTGCAGGAAGGTTCTGAACAGGTAAGTAAAGAATAATAATAGATATTTCTTGGTAAGTAATAATGGCTTACCTTATTTGTTAAAAATAGTCATAAGCGTATCCAATTATTTAAAAGCATGAAGTTACAAAGTTAATGCACTCAGAAAATACTAATTTCTTGATTATGAAAATGACACTCCACTTTGGCATCAGCTGCTAATTTTTAAAATTACTACTATAATTTTACTGATAAAATACTCTCAAAACATTAATATTATTGTTTTGTTTTGTTTCTTGTTGTTTTCTTCCCATACTGTAGAGCTATTAATACTAATTCCCCTTTACAATTTTCAGATATTGATTACTGTTTACTTATTTAATTTTTGATGACCCTTTGTTAGGAAAGGCTATTATTTACTTTAATAATAATAAGCAATATTTATTTTATTTGGTTAATAATTTGTAATCATTTTAATTTCCTTTTTTCCATACTAGGGTTCATCAGTACTTCGTATGTTTGAGAGCTATTCACCTCAAGCATTCCAAACAGCAGTTTCTAAATATTTAAAAAAATTCACATATAAGAATGCTGTAACTGATGACCTTTGGGAAGAGTTAGAAAAAGAATATAATATCAACAACATGAGATCCATGCTTAATACGTGGACCAAACAAATGGGTTATCCTCTTGTTAATGTTAAGAAGGAAGGAGACAGTATTATTCTTACTCAAAGCAGATTTTTGTCAAACTCGGAAGCCACTTATGATCCGAAGCAATCTCCTTATGGGTGAGTTTCTTATATAATTTGTTTATACTTTAAGTATGTTACCTCAATATTTTTTTTCCTTCCCAAAGTATAATCATAAACTGAAATTTTTAATAATTTTATGGTCCACTTATGACTGCAATAAACATATGCTGTTTTTATATGTTACAGAGTTATGAATCATGAATTAAATGATTCTCTTTTGTACACAATTACAAGTAGATTCTGTTAGATGCATGAATGTCTATCAAATCCTGTTATAGTAATTAATCTACCAATTTTGCCATATCATTTCGCGTCTTGCTTGTACTTACTGTTAAAACAAAAAAGGCTGCAGATGAATGAATTTTTTTATTCTTATTCGATTTTCAGATTCTACATATGTTGAAACTTAAAAACTCAAATTTTGAGGAGTTAACTTTTTTTTTCTTAGTCAATTTAAAAGTTACATCATTACAAGTGATAAAACAAAATCTCAATATGAAATCTTTTACTTTTTAATTTTTTTTTGTCTTTGCTGGTTGAGATCTTTCAATATTATGTTACTTAATGAATGGTTTAGAAATGTATGCACCAGGTGTGTAAATATGAAACCAGAATTCCTTATAAATGACTCTAGTCGTTAATGTAGTGGCTGTTTAAACGTATTATTGGTGCCACTTTTTTCCTTCAACAGCTGACGAAAGATTTTCAGCTCGAAACAAGACAAAATTTGTATGACAGCATTGTTTTAATATCGTTGAACATGTCGAGTCTGACAATGACAATTTTGAAGTAACAAATGGAGAACGTGGAAGATTACCACAAAGGTTGAAGACAGTACATTGTAAACATGTTTGGACAAACATGATGCTCCATTCCAACAACAACTCATGGATTAATTGAATGTAACACAAGCTCAGTCAACACGTTTGAAAGCCATGGGAAGTGGGTTCCACATGCAAGAAAACCGGAAAATTACTTCTAAAATGCTGCTCAATATGTGCAAAAGAAAGTCATTTCTCTATCGAATTGTGATAGGTGATGAAAAGTATATATATATTTTGAGAGTCCAAAGCATAAGAGATAATGGGTAAGTCCAGGCGACCCATCAACATCGATTGCTAGGCCAAGTCTCTGTAGAAAGAATATAATGGTCTTTGTTTGGAGAGATCAAAAGGGTGTGACCTATTATGAGCTGGTAAAACTGTTAATTGAAATTGTGAGAAAAATCATCAAAATATTTTTAAAAAACACAAAATGATTTTGCTTCATGATTATTCATCAACACAGCAAGATCTTTGAAGGAAACTATTGAACATTCAGTTGGGAAATATCAGCACATGCAGCATACTTACCAGACTTGGCTCCTACCAACTATTATTTATTTGGGAAGGAGTTAATCGAGGGTGCGGTAAAATAAATAAAAAAATTAAAATATATAAATTATTTTAATTTTTGCATAAAAAATTAAAATAATTAAAATAAAAAATTAAAATATATAAAAAATTAAAATATATAAATTATTATTTATTTGCATTAATGGGACACGCACCTGCTCAGCAGCGCTTCACTTCTTGTAGAAATGGCTCTATAATTAGTTCACAACAAAAGAGCAATAGTTTTTCTGGCATCATATGCATAATTTGTCCGGAGAGATGGGAACAATGGAAAATATTTTATATTTTTTAACATTTTTGTTTTATTTACTTGAATTTTCTTTACGAGAATATTAGTTTCATATTAAAACACCTGCTATCTTGCTCTTGATTTTTTTGTTCACATTGAACATGTAAAGTGGTGAATTGAATTATCACTTGGGATATAAATCCTTCGCAAACTTTCCCTCTGTGAACCTTTCAGATGTCCATCCTCACTAATCTTTCCCGTTTCACTTGACATTTCATATCTGTTTCTTCTATCTCTTCTCTACCATCCTTTTCAAACTTTGTTCCTGAGTCATCATTTAATGATGATGACTTATATTTTTGCGACATTTCCCTCCACAGGCCTTCTAACTGCTATCCTTCACCAATTCCATAGGACCTGATGACATTCCTGTCAAATTAAAAAAATTAAGTCTCCCTGAAATCCTCCCAGTTCTCCTTTTCATCTACTATTTTTCTTCACGGAATTCAGTATCGGGAATTCCTCTTGGGAAAAAGCCATTGTCCTTCCTTTAAATAAAATTAAAATTAAAGCAGCACCTTTATGCAGATGATTCTCAAATCTATCTATCCTTTTCTCTCTTTGAGTTATTGGTAGTATTTGCCAAGATTCAAGAAGACCTAGATTGAATCAGTAATTGGGCAAATGTAAACGGATTAAGGTTAAATGTTGCTATAACTCAGGCCAGTGTAATTGGTTCCAAGTTCCTTCTTAATTCCTTACCAGCTTTCCCATACTATACCTAATGACCATCCTTCTACTTCTCTGTCAAAAATTTAGGTTTTTTCATTGATCAACCCTCTCTTGGAATCACCATATGTCTCACAACTCCCAACGGAGAATTTCTGTCTTTAAACTATTCCATCGCTTCCATCATCTATCTCAACCTATATATAGACTCCTAGTTTCCTCTCTCATCTTCCTCCACTTTGTCTATTGCTGTGTGTTGTATGATGGTCTCTCAGTAGAGCTCTGTGATAAACTGAAAAGACCAATGAATAGCTTCGTAAGATTTGTAATTCTGATCCTGAAATATTCCTGTGTCTCTCATCATTACTCTGAATTAAGGTGGTTCTTTCCCTCTTTCTGAAGACAATATTTCCTTGGCACATTCCTCTGTCAAATCATCAACAATCCTTGTTCTTCTTATGCCAACAACCTTCTCCAGTTCAAGTCCGCAGTCCATTTACTTACCATAAGATAGATCTTCTGACCTTTTCCAAAACTCCTCTGTTGTCCGCTCTGGAATTCCCTCCCTATCAAAATTCAGCATTCCCCCTCCTTACCCACATCCAAAACCCTCCTATTCCAATTCCTGTCCCCAAAACATCAGATTTCTGCTGACATTTTGACAATAATGTATAAACATCCATTTTATGTTATTTATCATCAAAGGATAGTTCTGTTCTTTGCTAGAGACATTACAAGAATTTCCTACTCTCGATGCCAATCAGTACATCTATTGTTTTTTTTATTTATTTATTTTTTTTTTAATACAATTAAATTATAACATAAAGAAATTAGCATGCTCTTCTCGTGCTGTATTGACATTGTGTTTAGCATTTATATGCTTTGACATTTTATATGGACAGATTCAGCTCTCTTTTTTGTCAATGGAAACTCAGAGCTTATTGATCGGAAGAAGATAATTTATTTTTCTTTCTTAATTTCTCAGAAGTGTGTATTTATACTGTTTTTTCATTGAATATAGTTTTATTTGTTTTGTATATAGCATATTTGCTTAATGTTTTCTTTACTTTTTTTATTTTATTGTTTCATACCTTAGAAAAAAATCTTTTATTTTTGTACAATGTTATTATTCTGAAGGGACTTTATCCGAGAATAAAGTTATTTTCTATCTGTTTATCTACCTAAAGCTACTTTTTGGTCCCAAGTGATTTAATTTTTATCTACCTTTTTTCCTGTTTCAGTTACAAATGGGATATTCCTGTTACATATATCACATCTATCAATCCTTCTGAAATAAAGAAAGTTGTCTTTCCTAAAGAAAATGAATCCTGTAAGTTAAAATTAAATTTGCTATTAATAATTTTTTTTGCAATACTAAAAGGTTTTCTTATCCCAGCTTAAATTTTTTTAGTAACTATTAATCTTGGTTCGGGAGTAGAATGGTACAAAGTCAACTCAGAACAGTGTGGTTTTTATCGCGTCAATTATACAGATGAATGGCTAAAATTCCTCCCTTTACTGGATTCACAGGTATTCCATATATTTCACTTGACTTCCATAAATCATTCACTAATATATTATTAACTAGATTTAAAAAAATAAAGTAAAAATTGTTTAATTCATAATTAGAGGCTGAGGAATTTTTTTAATCTTTAATTAAGTAAGTTATTGGTAGTGGAATAACTCTGAGAGTAGAGAAAAGTGTTCCTATTCTCCTTCCGGCATAAGTTTGACTTTGACTGGAAGAATATTCTATAATTACTTATTTTGTTATATACTTTGAGGATAAATCCTGGGTCTTGGATACCCTTATGGGGCACACCCATTGTCTATAAAGTAGGTGCCCTTCATTGGAGAAAAACATGGCCCTTGACAAATTGCATGCTTTCAGAACCTTTAACCTAGAAACAGTATTCCCTTACCTAGTACTGGGCCAAAGATTTTTAATGTATTATAGTGATACTGGTTTTATTTTATTTTTAAAAATAAATTAAGGTTTGTAGATGCATAACTATAAGATTATGTTACTAATTTGCAAAAATTAATTGATCCCTGCATTTTAGAGCTTTTTCATGTATTTCCGTTTCTTAAAAATAGATAATATTACTAGCAATTGTAATATTAAATTCCTTGCAAATGCTTGAAGTCATTTCATTAGCCTCTATACAATCACTGAAATATATGCCTGCTTGTTTGTGTCAAGTGTATGATTGTTATTCATTCACCTTCCAAATCATGATATCTGAATGTTTTTACAATGATGCTCTTTCAAATAACAGTAAAGTGCTAATATTCTAACTATCTCGGCTGATATATATTTTATATATATATATATATATATTTTATTTTTTTCAATTACCCCTAGCTTCCCATTTCTTGCATTGGCCTACAGATTAGGGGTTGTTGTTCTAGAGGTACAACCAAACCTATTCTAACTAGAGTGGGATAGTCCATGGTAGAGATCCCTTTTTATCAAACTATTAACATCCTGCTGAATAGCTTCATAAATGGCTTCTTCTCACCATAACCTGCAAATATTTTATTTATGAAAATTCTCAGAATTTGGGCGTTTTCAATCTGGAGATTGTCAAACTTTGTCTATTGAATTAGGTACTAAAAACTCGTAAATATCCATTTGTTTTACACTTGAGCTAGATAACTTGAGCACAAAGTCGAGAAAAAAGAAGGCCTTCAAAAATATTGAGCGGTTATGGTGTGACTTATACCCACAAATAGTCAAAATAATGAGGTTATATAGGCCAAACGGCCCAATATTTTTATAGGTTACCTTTTTTATCGATTTTATGATCAAATTATCTTACAATCCAACTGAAAAGCAGATGGGTATTACGAGTTTTTAGTACCTAATTAATTAGAAAAATTTTGCCGACCGCGAAATTGAAAATGCCCTATTTCTGTGCAGAAATAAGGAATAGGCATGAAAATTTTCCTCATAAAATTTCTTCTATTTATAATTTGGCTAGTATTTATCGGTTCCGAGTAAACGGCTTTTGAAGTTGAGAACAGTTCAAATAGGTGCATGACCTTAGACCAAAAAAAGTGCATTTATGGGAAATAATTTATAAAGTTTTTCGCTTCACAGGAGGTTCTCTTTTAATGGTCAGGAATAAGAATCAAAAGAGTTCAGTTCCCACCTAGTGGACGAAACATCTCCAAATTCGCAAAACATCACTCCTCCCGTCCCCATATTTGGCATTTTGTGTCTGCTTTCTTCATTTAAATTTGAATCCATTGATTGGACAGAAATAATGAATAGAATTAAAAATATCCATCATAAAAATTTGACTAGTACTTACCGGTTTCGAGAAAACGGCTATTGAAGTTGAGAGCAGTTTGAAGCTCTTAGCTAAAGAGACTAATAAGGCCTTTGAAAGCAAATATCTGAAAATTGTTTGGTTTTAGGATAAAAGTGCCTTTTTATTATTTTTTTTTATATATGCCCTATTTGGTCTAAGGTTGTTCTCAACTTCGAAAGCCTCTTATTCAAAACCAGTAAGTACTACCCAAATTATTAATAGAACACATTTCATGAGGAATATTTTCATTTCTATTCATTGTTTCTGTCTGATCAATGTATTAGAAGTTAAATGATCTAAGTTAAATCGTACTCAAATTGCCAAATGTAGGGGGGGGGAGGGGAAGAGAGAGGGATTTTTTTTGTGAATTGAGGGATGTTCCATTCACTAGGCAGATAGGAACTCTTTTGATTTTTATTTCTGACCACAAAAAGAAAACCTCCTGTGAAGGACAAAGCTTTATAAATTATTTTCCACAAATGTCCTTTTTTGGTGTAAGGTTTAGCGACTAGAACAACTTTCTGCAATATCCTCCTTGCCTCTCTGTTGATAGAAATTAAAAAAAAAAAAACCTGTACCGCTAACAACCCATGAAGGGTCTTGGGTGCAGTACAATGTGAGGAAGTACTGTTACAAGGCCAACGGTTTTGCAGGAAAGTGAAGGCCAATATCAAGCTCTACGGCCAGGTTTTCTCTCTTAATCAATTATTTAATTAAGAGTACCCAGTTTATACGAGGCTAGGTTTGCCCCAGGAGGGTCTCCTGGCCCAAGGGTCGACCCACGGCTGATGAAAAATTACTAATCATCAGCCGGATTCGAACCTGGCACTTTGAGCTCTGGAAGTCAGTGCTCACCCACTATTGAGCTACCGCGCTCCCATAAAAAAAGAGATAAGGATTAGGAAAGAAATTAGGATGTTTTTATTTCTAACTGCACCTCCAACGTCATATTGTATTATTTTCCTCTCAATCAACAGAATCTACATTATTACATACTGTTAATTATAAATAATTATTTTATATTAATTTTTTTTTTTTAAATATTGCAGGTCCTCAGCCACCCAATAGATCGTGCTAATCTGTTAGATGATTCTTTCAGCCTTGCAAAAGCTGGTTATCTAAGTTATGAAGTTCCTTTTCATCTTGTCAGCTATTTGAAAAATGGATCAGAATCTCATTATGTTCCATGGGCTGTTGCGTCTAAACATTTTTATAGATACAAAAATATATTACATGGCACCCCTGCTTACTCAGATTTAATGGTATTTTTTTTTTTTTTTTGCAATTACAAATTATGACTTATTATTTAAATGTATTATCATGTTCTTACTTTTTCAATTCATAGAAATTTGGCATCTCTTTGATTCCGTCATCTTTACTGTCAGACATTTGGGAAGTTAAAAGTACAGCTTCGAACTTGGAAAAGTAAGTGAATAGTAAATGTATTGATTATTTTTCAACAAAATTTTATTCTTAGTCATATATATATATATTATTTCCAAGTCTATGTGATTTAGGAAATGGCACGAAGATGGCAGCTTTGTATTTTCTTTCTACAAATGGAAAGCTATTCAAATATATCAACAGATAGCTTGCACACAAAAGTCTTAAATTTCTTTAAAGCAATGAGATTTATTGTAGACTGTCTAATATTCTTATCGGCCAAAAAAAAGCTTATGAGAAAGTTCTCCAGATCATAATATTGGGTCCTTAGTAGTAGAGGACATATAAAGGAAATAAAAAAAAAGAAATTGAGTTTTATATATGACTGATGTTTATGTTTTGTTTTTCAGGCAGTTCAAGATAACATTATTATCATTTGCATGCAGACTGGAAATTCCAGAAGTAATGGTTAAAGCAAATGAAATCTTTACTGCCTGGTTGAATGGGGAAACAGGAAAACCTCACCATCTCATTCGGAATCTTATTTACAAATATGGTGTGTATGCCTGTTTTCTTTTAAGTATGGGTTATGTATTAAAGTTGAAATATTTGTTCATAATGTGTTTATATATTTAAAATATATGCGTTAAATATCTCTTTTGCCTCGCTCCGTGAATTGGAAAAGCTTTGTACCAATAATCCAAAAATTTCTATTAAAAATAATATATTCTATATGGTGCTACGGGAAAGAAAGAAAAAAAGTGTACTTTTAAGATAAAAATTATGTCCGTATTTTCATGCAACTTAAACATATGGATCAAAATAAATCCTCAATGCAATTCGAGGGGGGACAAATTAATGAAGATATCTAAGTTTGTTGTTATTTATTTACAATTGTGTAATAATTATAATAACTTTGCTGTTTTATTTTTTTTAAAAACTGCTAGTGTTTTTTTATAATAATTATAAAAAAACTAGTTGGCCTGTGCAAGTAGTTCACATTGTATAAATGGTTAGTGCACCAACGGAAAAATAATAAGTAAATAAGTTAATGCAAGGTACCGTTTCTCAATTCTTGGTAATTGTTATTGACCAAGAGAAAGGAAATTAATTTAAAACTTCATTCATATTTTAAATCAACATATTTACAAATTACGATAAGCTGTATCTTTGCTAATTGCTAGTGTTCCGATTTTGATGATTATTATTTTGTTTTGTAGAGAATTCAGTCACCTTTCAAATGAATGCAATCCACTTTTTGAGTTATTTGCAAATAAAACTCCTTTACCTTTATAACATTTTTTCCTGGAATTTGGGAAGATGTGGCTATTTTTGCAGAAGGGAAAGAAAGTCTTCAAAATGATGGATCAATCATCATTGGGTTTGATGAAGGATTAACAAAAACATATGGCATTGTGCCAAAAAACAAAACAAAAAAAACCTTAGATAAATAATATATTACGATAGAAGCCTTACCTATTCTGCTCCATCTACATTTTCCATTGATTTTAGTTTGTCAAAGACTGTAATAAAAAGCAATATTTTAATTTTTTAAACCTAAATATGTGATAATTATCTATGGCAACCACAGCACCTAGGCATTCAGAAAGAATTATGATCTATCTCGAAAACGGGACATTTTTGAATTATAAAACGCTCGGTCCGTTAGTACCTTTGAATGATTCTTGATGACTGCATCGAAACCTTTAAAACAAAATTTATCCCTCCTCGATCCGTTAACTTTATAATCATCCAAGTTCTGAAACCTCCCAATTTTAACAATAACTTTTATTTAAATTTATTAGATCCGGAAAAGGGATTTATACTACTGTATTATTATAGTGTATATTATTATCTGCTACTGCTCAACATCAGTTGAATAAAAAACAAGGCCTACTTAATTAGTTTCTCTGTCACTACCCGGGTGGGGTGGCCCAATGGGCTAATGCGTGTGCACAGCACCGCGAGTTGCCTGACAACCGGATAACAGATTTGAGAGATTTAAAAAGTACGAATTCGCATCCCAGTGCCGGAGACGATTTTAAATTCCCTGGCCCAGGAAAATCCCGTATAGCCTAAAAAAACGAGGTAGGGAAGAACAGGGAAAAAAAAAGTTTCTCTCACTAAGGTAATTGGTTTATTACATTTAACTTTAATCTTGGTTTTACATATTTTGTTTACTAATTCTTGATTCTACACAAGAATACTACTCAATTATTTTTATGAGGATGAGTGAACCCCATTCCATAGGCTTAAGGAGCCAGATATTTTGGTGTATTCCGGATTTCCATATCCTATCCGGCGCATAATCATTCCTTTTGATGGATAATTGATGTGCTTTGTCAGGATGAGGACTGCGGTTTGACAGATGCTTCTTGGATTCCTTTAGCCCTAAAATGACTTTCTGACAGTCCATGAATAAATCAGGAAAATTTTTGATAAGAGCAAGCAATTTTACTTACAGTAGTTTAGAAGAATATGTGCCAAATACTTTTCAAAATGATAGGTTAATCATTGGAACAAAGTGCAATAACAGAATGGATCCACTCATTTAAGAGATAATCTTGGTAAAAACAAGCGCATAGAGCAATGGCAGAAAATGCATTTTTTGAATTCAGGACTCTGAAATGCAAAGATGTTTTAAAAACTGCTCATCGCAAGTTTGATCTTATTACAATACTTTTCTTATCTAGTAGCAGTAGAAAGGGAAAATCTAACCAAGTATTTCATTGTATAAGTATTGGCTTCCCTTGAGCCAGTTAATATCAGAAAATTTAACTCTAACAAAACAATCCTATTTATTATTTAATTACTTTCAGGTGTTAGAGGAGCAAATGAAGAAGCTAATAGACAAAAATTATGGGAGCTATACCTGAAGGAGTTGGACCCCATTGATAAAAGTGATTACATGGCAGCGATAGCTTCTGTATCAAATCCTCAAATTATTTCAAGGTTAGCCTAACTATAAGATCTTGGTGTATGAATGTCTTTAGAATGAATTGTGAGTTTGTTGTCCATGGTTATCTACCTCTTAATGTCTTCAGTTATTTTATTTTATGCTACCATATTATTGCTAGTTTATATTTATTATTTACTCACTATCAATCATTACTTAAAGTAACATTAATTGCTTGCGAACAAAACAGTTAGATGTGACTTCATTATATATTATGGTGCCTGAAAATAGAGCTGAGTTATATTTATTATTTTAATTATGTTATCCCATTTCTTGAGTAAAAATATTTATAATTATATAGACAATATAAAAATGTTAATTTCCGAATATATTTCATGTTGATTTAGGTTGCTAGAGCTTATAAAGAATGAAGATAATGTTCGGTCTCAGGATTATTTTATTTTCCTTGACTACATGTGCTTGACATCTCCAGCAGGCGGCGCATTTATTTGGGAATATTTAAGGTATTTACTTATATTTAATTTTATTAAATTGTCTAAACGGGGATGTTTTAAATGGTCCCTTAGGGATGTTATCTTATTCCACTCTTACTTAAATTACACGGTACAAGATGTATTGAAGGAAGACTGATTTAATGCTTCAGTTTAGAAAATAAGTGCATTTTGGTCTTTAAATTTTTTTTTTTTTAGCTTAGTTTCATTAAATATATATGTAAGTTAAAATTATAATTTTAATTTTGCCTAAAATTATTGTAGTACTGAATGGAAAAGTGACTTATTTATTCTTTATAGGCATTTAAATGTTTTATTTTCTGAGTATTCTGAAATATAAGTTTTTAGTATGAAATAGTGAAATAACAAGTAATTTGAATTTTGTATTATGAGTTATGATGAATAATGATCAAATATTAAACTCCTTATTCTTTACATAGGATCATTGAATCATAGAAATGTTGACATTTGGATTTTAGAAATGTATTCGTGAATGTCAAATTAATTCCCCATAGAAATGTTGAAATGTTTTTATTCTTCACATGGAAAATTTTAATATATTTTTCACTTAATCTTTATACTCCCTCAATTATTATTGTGGAGCTACTATGATAAACAATTGAAAAAAAAAATTAATTTAATTATTTTATGTATTCCTGAGTCTAAAAAGTGATAAATTAAGCAAAAAGAAATAAAGAATGTGGTTCTACCATGCAGAGCACATTGTACTCCCTAACTATTGAATATTTTTTTATGAAAATTTATGTTTAGGGATGTGCGAATGCTAACATTTAATGTCAATAATAAAAATAAACAAAGTTGATAATAATAAAGATAAGAAACTGTCCTGGATTGCGAACATGAAATTTTATTATATACCACACGCCAGGGACTGACTGCCATAATTATAATTTAAGAATATTATTTTTTTGTCAGAAGTATTGTCTTAAACAATTTTTTTTCACTGAATTCAAAGAAAATTTTGGAGGTTATTAATTTTAAAATTAGAATACTTGGTTAAGGTATCTACCTACTGAGTCTTGGTCTCCCACCTGAAAAGTAAATTATCAGCCAACTAAACAAAAAATAAATTTTCCACTTCCAAACACATTTGAACCTTGGGCTTAGGAGTCTTAATGTTTTACATACTAAACATTCTGTAGAATATGAAAAAGAAAAAAATATTTAAATTATTGAATAAAATAGATATTAATGTATTCTATTTCTGTTTAAAAAATCCCATCGATTTTAAACATGGTCGCAAGCTTCTGTGTGCCTTTTTCTACAACTTAAATGAAAAATTAGTGAAAAAGATATGGTATCAGGAACTATACTAGAATTATTTCATGTAATAGAAAACTGTTTCTACATTATAAACAGTAAAATCGATATATTGGTAAAAAGTGATAGGATTTAGTTTTCTCCCATACCTCTTATTTACCCACATTTTCAGAATTAAAATGTGTCTCTAATTTATATAAATTGTAACATTTAAATGTACCTTTATTCATGTTTCTAGGAATAATTGGGATTATTTTGTGAAGAGATTTACTTTGAATGATAGAGCTTTAGGCCGTGTATTGCCTAAGTGTACAGCTTACTTTTCTACAGAAGAAAGATTAAAAGAGGTATTACTTTAATTTATACTTAAATAACCATAACAATTGATTTTAGGCATTTTATTAATTGTTGTTTCTTAAAAATAGGTTGAAGATTTTATTAAAAAGTATCCTGATGCCGGAGCAGGGGCGGCCGGAAGGAAGAAAGCTGTTGAATCCATCAAAAATAATATTAAATGGAGGAAACAGCACTATCAGAATGTTTCTGACATTTTGAAAAAACTCGCCATATAGTATTTATAAGTTGTAAATATATTTCTTTTTTTACTTCAAAACAAAAGATTAATTTCTAAGTTATTTTCTTATTGAGTATTTTGTCATACGAGAAATATTATTTTTTCTGCAATTATAATCCCATCTATAAATTATAACCTCTCATATGATCATGAGCATATAGGGGTGGGTCAATTTACAAAAATTGTCAATTTCGGATTCCTATTAAGTAATGCCTAAAATATATTTGAAATTAATTGTATTTCTTTATTTTGATAATAAAAAGTTGTGTTATAATTTGTATCAATAAAGGTTCTACTTATTTTCTTTTATTATTGAAAGTCCTGTAACTTCTTTTAATTTTCACCTCTGTAGTAATTAATTTAGTAGTAATATATTTAATACTAATAATAATTTACCTATATATTTACTCTTTAATGTGAAGCGCTACTGTTACTCTTAAATATTGTGCTGTGGAATTCTCTCAAGAACTAAGTAAGTTCTTTGCTTAATTGCCAATATTTATATTTTTCCCTTTATTAACATACATATAGAAAGAAACAATTTAATATTTCATTTGATTTTTTTTTTTATTTGTGATATTGTTGGTTTGAACACTTAATATAATAACTTGAATGAACAAACTTTTTAACAAATGAAACTTCATTAAACATGAAATTTGGTGTTCAATATAGTTGATTAGCTAACTTCCACAGCATTCTAATTAAATCCTTTCAGGAAAACACTAAATGCAGGAGCAAAATTTAGTATATAAATTTGGAGACAATAGGTATACATACTTTAATCCTAATTAAAATATTATTTTTTAAATAAATAACTATAAATACTAACTGAATTCTCATTTCTGTTATATTCAATGCTTTTTAAGAAAAATAACTTAAAGGCCTATTAGTAAATTATATTTAAGATAAAGCAATTATTTGAATATTATCGGTACTCTTTAAAATGTTCTGATTTCTGTAATATATCCTTCATGAAAAATCTAAAATATATCCAATGAACTTTTTGACTTGAATCATTTGTTACACAGACAGTTATTCACTGATAATCTCATTTAATAATCTGTTTATTCTAAGGTTATTCAAAGATAAAAATAGATAAATTGTAGATTTCTGGATACTGACCCACATATACCAAATACTATACTGATCAGTGGCAGATTATGCACAGGTACTTACATGAATATCGATCTGTTTCAGGATCTATAGAATAACATATTTAAATTTTATATTCCATGTTTTTGGCTTAAATTGCACGATTTTGATTTTTGTTGCATTAAATTGCATGCTTTTTTTTGCTGGATTAAATTATTTATAAATATAAAGTGTGTAAATATTTACTTTTTTATTTTACTATCTTGTCCCAATTTAATTTGTAATTTAAGAAAGAAAAATAAGAGGCAGATAAGTGATTCTGTGACTAGCAAAGGTTCGAATTTAGCATTACAAAAGGACAATGTAAACACAAGTGCAGACAAACTATTCTTAGTTACGACTGCATTAACAGTATAATTATGTTAATGTTGACAAAGAACCAGTAGTGGTTGTTTGTTACAAAATGAGTACCCTAACATCAGTTCATGTTGAACGCTCTTTTTCTCAATTGAGAAGTAGTAAGTGGTAAGAGAAACAAATTTCGAAATGTATAACATTGTAAGAGTTGATCGCAACCTCCTCCCCTCTTCCCCCCGATCAGCTCCTCATATTATATCAACGGTCAACCATCTCTACATCATTATATAACATTGTAAATTTAAATCAATTAAAAAAATAAAGTATTAATACTTAATAATAATTATTATTTTTAATTAAAACTAAATATCTGAAATCAATTGGTCTGGTATATCAATATATAATATATACTTATCCTTCATACTTTTACTCTTTTTAAGTTTCTCTACATTACTTCATTCCTTGTATGTGCCTGTCAATTAACCAATTTTAAGGGAAATTTAAACAAACATATTTATTTATTTATCGGTTAATTATTGAGATGCATTTGTTTTGTGAACTATCTTTAAATTTTCTATTATTTATGTTAGTCCATCATTGTTTTTAATTTATCTTTCTTCAAGATTTGGGTGTCACAATTTATTGTTATACTAGATTATGTATTGTTGTCGTTGGATTTGAAGTTTCGATGTTGCATTTTATTTTATTTGTGACTATATTTTAATTCAGAAGCTAATTTAAGGTTTAAGAGGATTTGGATGTATTAATATCATAAATTAAACAAAATAGATGATGTTTGCACGTGTTTAGGTGTAAATTAGACAACTTCACATATTATTTGGATTTTACTGCACGTTTTTCGGATTTTTACTGCACAAAGATCCAGTCTCTAGTTATAATAAAGATCTAAGATCATCTAGTATCTAGTATAAAGATCTAAGATCTAGTTCTAGTGGCGGGGTGGCTGAACGGGCTAATGCTTGTTGACAATGACTCAGCATAATTCCCCTATCCTAAGAAAAAAAACCATCTAGCCTAAAGGCAAGGAAGGGGAGACAAAAAACAAAAATCTCTTACTAGCTCAATTAAAAATATTTATAAATACATAAATACAATTTACTATATTGAAATGTTGGCATTTTTAACAAGATCACTAAATCTAGATGTGAAATGAAATCATACCAAATATCTTTATAACTTCTATAGCATTTTTCTGAATTAACATTTCATTCTGATATTTTAATAAAATTAAATATAACTTAACAAGATTCAATTTTGTAGAAACATCTAAGTGTACACTGAGAACTGATTACCTAGCAATTTCCTAATTATTTTTTATCCTTTTTATAGTCGCAGTATAAAAAATATTCAAAACAATTTTTTGATCATTCCTTATAAGTTTCAACACATATGAAGTCTATCAACTTAGACAGACAATAACAACATTACATATAAACAAATACCGTCAGAGAGTCAGGTAAGTAATATAATTTAATCAGATAAGTTAAAATATTTTAAAACAATTAAGAAACAAGTTTAGTCCAAAATTACCTAAGAACATCATAAATTTCAAACTGGCTGTGCGGAATTATCCAATGCCCTTAAAACAAAAACAAAAATAAGTCTATTGCCAGAAAGAAATACTTTTTTGTACTTACCCAAAAGTTAGGAATGATTTATCTTGGCCAATGAAAGTGATTAGGGAATTATATGGTATTATTTAATTTCAATTACAAAATATTTAAATTGGGATGGGTTACAAATGTAACATTTATTAATTTGTGAAATTTATTATATACCCTAACTCAATATGATAAATAATATTGTACATATAGATTGATAATTTATTTTACCAAGAAAATTAAAAAATAAAAATAAAATAAAATTCACCATTGTCTTTAAATAAATTTGTAAAAACTATACAATTTGGGTATGACAGTATATAATATACAGCCTATTCCACTTCTTCATGCAACTGCTGGAGAAGTGCTATCCTCCTCTTCTCAAGTTCGCTGTCTGAGAGATCTTCCGACCTGTCAGGTTTCGCATCATAAGAGGGACTTGTAGGCGTGCCGCTCTTTTTGCTTTCCGTTTCTCTCTTTTCATCAGACTCTCCCTAAATGAAGAAGAAGTAATGAACTACTTGAAACAAAGAGCAGAACTTAAATATTACAAAATGCATTTAAATAAACTAATCTCCTTTTGATTGTGTATTCAATTGTTAAAATATGAAATTAGATATGCTGGATTCTGAAAAAGAGGAAGAAATATAGAACATCTAATTTATAACAAACAATAAATAACTATTTTGTCTAAACATTGCAATAATTTTTTTTAATAAACAGTTCAGAAATTAACAAAAAAGTCAAGGACAATGATACAAAACCGGTGGTAATTTTTTTTCTTCTACATAGCAATAAAAATGTAAAGTGGATTTAAAGAAAATAGAAATTGTTATAAGAGAGTATTGCTAATCATTTGTATAAAATTGTTTATTTATATCTTTCTTTGACAGCAAATTTTCAAGAAAACTTCTAATAGATTTCTTTTAGAACAACTCTGTAATAATTTTAAATGAAATAATTTGCAAGCAGAAATATTGTGAAAAGTAAACAACCATTTCATTTCATAATGAAAATCTAAAACATTTTAAGAAATTGTGCTGAATTTTATTCACCTTTCAAAAAAGATATTAATCCAATTTTTATTAATTTATTTTTCAAATCTAGTAATGATGTCTAAAAAAATCAATGTCTCAAGGTCATAAATAAATTTAAAATAACCAACTAGTCGGACAAGTTAAACCTCATCTTTAAATTAATCGACATAGAAAATGTGAGTTTATTATAATATGTGAGGTGTTAATATTTGGAATAAAAACATTCAAACTGTAATTTAGATAAAGATTAAAATTGTCTCTGATAGTTTAACTCTGTCAGTTTATAGCAAAAAGTAACATTTCATAAAATAAATCACTGAGTACTTCCATAAATTTTGTGTGAATGTGAAATCAGAACATTGCGCACTTAGTATAACTATTTCTAATAAAATAGTTCATACAGATTTCTCCAAACTTTCAAAGCAAGAAGTCTGAATATTGTATTCAGTATTTTTTTTAATTAGGCAGCTACATTATAATAAACAAGAATTACATATAACCACTAGGTTTGCCACATTTTGATACTGTGTTTTTGCACTGGTAAATCAAAATTCACAAAAAAAAAAATTTAAAAGTGTATTTGGTAACTTTTTTACAATAAACTGATGACAAATGCCAATTTTTGTCTAATCTGATTTATAGCTTATTAAAAAGCTTGAAGATAAAAATACATTATAGGAAACAATTTTAAACCATTCAATCAAAAAATTAATATACAACCGCCATTTTGAATACAACTTGATAGTTCTAATAACAAAATTGTTACTTTTGTTTGATTTCAATATTTGTAAAACAGGGATGTAATACCCCTTTTGGATTAAGAGACATAAATTTAACTTGACAATTTCAAAATTTAAAAAACCTTTGAAGAGAATGGTTCTCTATTATATTTATTTTTATTTTTGCCGACGTTTCCGCCCAAAGTTCGGGCCTTCATCAGGATGAAGTAGGGCTAAGAAAATACCAGATAACAATAACTATGAGAACTATAAAAAAAACTTTTTTTTTAATGCAATAAGGTCACTTAAAGTACAGGCTAAAGAACAGTCATCGTATTTTGATTGATTATAAAAGGAATATAAAGAATTTTTTTTATAAGTTTAATTTTTAAAAATAACATTTTAAATATTCTTGTTTGATGTGTGAATAGAGTCACTTCCTATAACGTTAAAATTTCTAAGAAACACTTTGAAAGGCGATGACTTTCTTAAATAATTGACAAAAAAAATATTACGAGTTGGATCTATTATATTGGGTTATTACTGAGAATTGACAGTACAAGGATGTTTGACCATAAAAAAAAAAAAAAGTACAAGGATCTTTGACCATTAAAAACAAAACAAAACTATGCAAGTACTCACAAACAAATAAAATTAATCAATCTGTTGCTAATATGAAAATGATGTGAATTAGTGTATTATGAGTAACAGAACAGAACATCAAAATAACAAAAGAGAAATGTAGTCAATATAAATTTTATTTCTACTGAATTAAACAAAAAGTATTTTTAATTTTAATTTTTAAACATGTTTAAATATAAATAAACATTAACTTTAAAAAAATAAGAAATGAAAGAATTTCCATCCAATATTTTATTTTTAAATGTTGACAAGCGAATTTTTTTTATTTATTTATTTTTTTTGGTGAAAATACATAAACAAATATGTACAAAATAAAAACAAAAATAAGAAAATTAAATCAATTCCTTACTACCCTGGGACTGTGTGAATGTCCCCTTTTCTTCTTTGATTTCTTCCTTTTGGCTTTTCTTCGGTGTTCTGAATCTGAGGACTCAGAAGCTGATCTTGATTTATGTCTCCTTGATCTCTTAGATCGTTCTTTATATCCTCTATCAGAGTCACTTTCAGAAATCTATGCATAAAGAAATAATTTTCAAATTTATTAAAACAAATTATGCAAACAGAACTTAAAAACCTAATGAATAATTAACAGATTTGCCCAAAATTTCAAAGCAAGAAGTTTGGATTAGACAGCTACATAAAAATAAATGTATATATAAATGTCACCTATAATAACTAAATTTAATTGATGTACAACGTTGTAAATAAGGTAAAGGTAGATTGAAAGAATACCATTATGAAAAATCTTATAAAACAGAAAGTCACTTTGAAAAGGGACACATGGAAGACTGGTCTCAAATCAGAAAGGACCAAATTGATTATATAAATATTTCATTAGTACCTTCTTTTTAATATCAGGATTTAAAATGACTAATAAAGGCAATGAATTTCATGTTGAAAGAAAAATCTTAGAAGAAATCAAAACTTATGATGCACTCAGACATTTTATTTTTTTGGGCAGAGGATTTAAAAGACTCCCAGGCACGAACTTGTAATTTTATTGTCTCCAACTTCGGTTATAAGGTTGCCTGACAACCTATGCTGTGCACACACGTAAGCCTGTTCTGTTACTCCACCCCCTATGCACTCAGACACTTATTAAGGAACATATTTTGAGGTATCTCTTTATGTTGGAATACCTTTCAGAACAATCATTAACACTTATTTCTGTTCCCAATCCTTGTTTTTATTTCTTTTACCATGGTTAAAATTGTACAAAGATACTTGAATTTATCCACACTTTAAAAGTACATCCTCATCGCAATATAAATCCACTTGCTGTGCCTTTCCTGTATATCAAATATTTCGTTTTGCTTTCATTCATTATGAGGCCTGTCTTCAAGAGCAAATCTTGATTCCTTCCTGTTAAGACCACATTGTCGGGCATATGCTAGTCATTCAGTCATGTTGTTATATATACAGCCTTTGTCCTTTATTTTGGCTGCACCCATAATCCTCTCAAGCATCATGTTAAATAATAGTGGGGATAAGGGAACCCCCTATTTGCCTCCTTTAATAATGGCAAAGTCTCTGGATATTTCTCCCTGGATCAGTACTAAATCTCTACTGTTTTGTAAGGTCTTCCTTACCAGCCTAATACAAATATATTTAAATCTCTACTGTTTTGTAAGGTCTTCCTTACCGACCTAATGCAAATATATTAAGATCTTAAAAATAGCAGAACTGCGGATTTCTAATGTCAGAAATTCTAAATTTTAACCAGTAGATACATGTGATCTACCAGAAACATGAGTAAGTGGAAATACTCTGAGAGCTTTAATGTTGATCTCAGCATCAATCTAAAGTTTGTTTTAACAAAAAAAATGTTTAATCCCCCTTCAAAATTTGAGATTTTATGTTTCAAGATACGTAGAAACTGAAAATATAATACAAAAACTCCTTCCGTCCCCAGTTTTTCTCTGAAACTACTGGATCCGATGTTTTGAGATTTGGTATCAATGTCAAAGGGCTCTTGAAGATGAACCATGAAATTTGGCATTATGAACCGCTCTTTCCTTTGAAGATGGCCAAAAAACCTGTGCCACTATAGACTGTAGGTGCCTAGAGGAATGTACTGATTACAATGAAACTTGGCTAAAGTCTTCTTAAAGCCCTTTAAATTTATAAATAAGTGTTATATATATATAACACACTTCATCGAAAAGTACTTTCCTTTCCAGATGGTGGCCAAAAAACCTATACCAATACATCAATTTCTATGAAACTTAGTTGAAGTCTACTCCATTGAAGTCATTTCCATTTATCTATATAACATACTTCACGTAAAGAAGCTGGAGAGAAAAGTTATGAGGGGTGGTAAAATTAGATTTCCAAATAACTCAAAAAATACATTTTTTTGTGATTTTTATGATTGGGTGTTTCAAAGATATTTAAATTTCCTAAGAAACAAAAAAAGTTTCATCAAAATCGGAGCACTACTAGTAAAGATATCGCAGTTTTTAAATATTTTTGGTTTATTATTTTCAATAATTAACCTTTGTAACCGACCAAGGGAAAAAAAAAGTTAACCTCCCCTCAAAATTTGAAGTTTCACGTTTCAAGATACATAAAATCTTGAAATCGGATGATTTGGTAGAAAGATATGTTGTTTTAAATATTTCCCACTGAAAAAATGATATCCTTTGTTTTTTTTTTTAGGAAAGTCTTACATGATCTGAGGCATTCGAGAATATTGTTTATATTTCTTACCAATTTATTAATGATGATAAAAAAAAATATATATATATATATATATATATATATATATGGCCTATATTAGTTTTATTTATTTTCCTCCATGTGACAAGGAAAGTAGTGTTACGTTTGATATATAACTGTTTAGAAATAATGAACCATTGTCTGACAATTCGCAGCATTTTTTTGTTAGGTAGTGATTTTATGTTTTGTCTGACTGACTTCTAAAAGGTCTCCTTCTTATTATTTATATGGTCAACTACCAACACGTAAAAACAAATTTTTTTTTTAGTTTTACCCCAATATGTATTTATACATTACCAAAAGGTGAGGTTTTAGCAAATTTTTAGTTTGAAACCATTCCAGTAAGCTCATTTTTAACAGAATAGTACTATATGTCCATTTAATATAATTCCCAGTTGTGAAAAATTCATCACTAGCAATAAAAAAGGATTAAGAACCCAATCCACAATTCAACCTCCCCCACCAACATGCAAACACCTACCCAAAAACATCCATATGAAATAATTATGTATGTGTAAATATAATAATAGATTATCAAGTGCAACTGATTAACATCCAAAACAAAAAGGCCAATCACTAAAATAAAATAAAACATTATTTGACAGAGTAAGTTTTATTATGAGTATGTTATGTTTAAATTTATTTAAAGAAAACATACAGAACTTCAGTATAAATGATAATCACCGTTATGTCTTCCTGAAATAATAATTATTAATAATAACTGGCTTACTTCTCAACGAGATCTAATTAACGCACATATGGTTGTGTTGGTGAGAAAATCATAATATTGTTATAAATTTCTCCTTGAATATTACTTATAGTCAACGCAAACAGTATTTATGGGAAGCTGTATTAATGTGATTTTCCACAGTTTTCCAGATTGATCAGTTTATGGTCACTCCACCTCTAAAATAATAAGATACAGCTTCTACTTCTACTTCATTTTGTCTATCTTCAAGTCTTGAATACCTTCAGTGTTCGAATCAGGACGAGATGATGACCCACGTGTTTGGGTCGGAACGTCGGCATTAATAAAGACTTTATAAGGATTGCGTCCCGAATATTTATCACCCATGATATGTAGAACAGTCGACTAACTTCCTTCAATAAATAATAGATAATTACTTACCATTGGAAAGTTAATCATTTTTTAAAAATAAAAAATAATTAGAATGATTAATCCATTTCTGTAGTAAAAAAATAAACAAGAAGCATGTAGCATAAAGCAATTAAGTTTTTTTTTTTACTTTTCTTTTTATGAGTTGATTATTGATTCAAATCAAAATGATAAATATTTTTTAACAACATAATAAAAAAAAAATGAATTAATAAACGAATTAACTAAATGATAATATTAAAATATAAGTAAGAATATTTTTTCCTAGTGATTTATTCTCCCATTTATTCCACTCAATTACATCATTACATCATAACGTTTCGGGATCCATTTATATTAAATATTATATTTTGCCCTAAATATATATTATTTATTTATTATTTACAACAATGGCAGGGCTCCTCAACCTTTTACGGGTCATTTTAGCCCTACAAAATATTTATTTTACATTAATTTTAGATGAAATTAAATTTAACAATAAATTGAAAGCATAAAATTTTTAAAACAAAAAAAGTCAGCAAATTTTAAATTTTGTTGTAAAGGTGCGTTATTTGAAGAAATGTAAAGACTTTTTTTGCCAATTTGGTAGTATTTTTTAGAATTTCAGTTATATCGTTCTCCAATTCAACTTCATTACGTTGTTTTTCATATCCATAACATTCAGTCAAAATGTGACTGATTGTTAAATTGATCCCGCAGCAGAGACATTGAGGGGGCGTCCCCTTTCTCATCAGGTGCTCATGAGTTAGCAATGAATGGCTGATTCGGAGCCTTGTCAGTATTAAATTAAATAATACTAATAATTATTATTATTATAAGAATAATAATAATTAAATAAATATTAAATTATTGTTGTTTTTAGTTGTATTAATAAATGCTTTAATGTTCATATATAATTATTGATAGCGATATGTAGTAATTTCTAGTCTGAAGATGGGATACAAGTGGATACCGAAACGTTATGATGTAATGATGTAATTGAGTGGAATAAATGGGAGAATAAATCACTGAGAAAAAAATATTCTTACTTATATACCTCGAAAATAAGTATCTCCCTTAGGATAAATGAAGAAAATATTAAAATAGTTCTACAGTATGAAAGTTAATTGTTGTAACATAATATAAAAGTTCTTAATACTATTATATTTAATCAAATAAAAGACACCTTTGAATTAAAGGCACAGCTATTTTTTTTATGGTTTTACTTGAGCATGATTTTTAAGTGTTAAAGATACTTAAAAAATACAAATAAACGAAAGTTGAAATGATAAAAACTTGGCACCTATATTTGATTAATTTCCCAGAGTTGCATCATTTTGTTGTTAAAAACATATTTTATAAATGTTTAGATTTAAATATTATTTTGACATGGACCTATTGTTTTAAAAATTCTCATAGATTGATTTGTATAAAATGAATTATAGAACTCAAATTTATGATGTAATTGAATTTAAGACACATGTTAAAAAAATTGTTTTACGAAGAAAAGTATGTCTTAAATAGGATGCAATGCAGAATTAATAATTAGAAAATTAATTTAAATTGATTACAATTATTTATAACACCTTTCTTTTTACATACAAAAGTTTATTATTAATATCACAAATAATGAACAATATCTGAGTCCCTTTTATTGATATATGAAGAAATTCCAATACTCAAGCCATTTAGCCCTAATAACTTTATAAAATGATATTTGATAAAGGTATGATGAATTGTTTTTAATTTGAACATTTATAAACTAAAAGGTCAAATATTTATTTATTTTTGAGTTCATGTTTTATAATTTATCTATTTTTATTGATTTAGAGAATCATTTAAAAAAGCAATAACTAGCAATACAAAAGATGAAATCAAAGCATGAATTGTCACTTAAACTAAAACTAAAAAAAGAAAAAGTAAATAAAGAGATAATAGTATATATTTACAAGAGATAAAAAACATAAAATATTTATCAAGAAAAGTTAAAATGGGAGAAAAGATTCACAAAGCTAGGAAGCCACCGAATGGGTTAGTTCCAGAACAACTTGAGTCTTGATTACTCTTTAGTGCTCAGATCAGGAAGTAAACTGGCAAGGAATCGGAGAGTTCTGGGAGATAAAGGAGTCTGAAAAGTTTGATAAGGAAAAGGATTAGTTAATGTTAATCAATAGCAACCTGTCTTTCCTTCTACATCTGAAAATTATTAAAATTAATATGAAAAACAGAAATATTTTTATTAATTAGGTATTGAGCTGGAAATACAATGTGAATATCGAAATCTATAATATGAAATTCTCTGACTTATTCAGGTCATTTTTGGAGAAATTTCATTGAATTCATCACTTGTCATGGAATTTGTTGCAATATATTAGGGAGACCGGAAAGTAATGTCGTTTTCTTACATTAAATTCAAACTCATAAATTTTACATGAGTTTTTATTTTTAATCATTCATAAAATTATCTTCATTATCAACAACCCTTTGCAAATTTTCAATGCAGGATCGATAAAAATCAATTGGTTTTTGAGCAAAATATACAGAGATGGCATTTTGGACATCATTCATATTTGCAAATATTTTGCCACTTATTAAGTGTTGAAACGATCCGAACAAATGAGAATCCGATAGTGCAACATTGAGCGAGTATGGTGGATGAGGCAGTACCTCCCCCCTGATTCATTAATTTTTTCCAGGGTTCGTCTTACACAGAGCGATCTTGCATTTTTGTGTTGCAATCGCTGGCCAATTTTCAATTAAAGATTGATTAACATGATCCAATTGTTCACAGTAAAGGTGTGCATTTACAATTTGTCCTGGTTTCAGCACTTCTGAATGAGCAATGCCAGGAATACTCCACCAAACACACAAAAAGGCCTTTTTAGAGTGTAAACCTGGCTTATCAGTACTTTGTGGTAATTCTTTTGGAGAGAGCCATTTTCTTTTGCGTTTTGGATTATCGTATGCAAACCATTTCTCTTCAGTGTTCAAGCGATCAAAAAACGCTTCTGTATTGTGCCATTTGAAGCAATAAGTTGCATATGGGGCTTTCCCAATCTGCTGTAAATGTTCCTGTACGGTCGACCAAGGCTGGTCAATACTGTTTGACAATTCCTTGATTGTCAGACATGGATTCGCTTCGACTTCCTGATCGGTACAAGTCGGAAAGACCAAAATTACCGAACTTGAACTTGAAAAACCACCTTGGGCATTTACGAACATCTAATCCATTTGGATAAAAATTGAAAATGTTTTTGGTAGTAACTGTTATAATGCCAGATATGTACCTCTTCTAGTATTTGGCTGGCCATTTCATCAAAATTTGCAGAAAAAAACTAAAGAATTCACTATAATCTAAGAATATGTTTGCCACGATTTAGATATACATAATGAGCTGCCAAATGACAATCAAATAGTGACATGATCAGAAACGACATTATCGCGTTAGCTGCAGTTACGGTCCCCGGGGTCTATCAGATATCCTATATATTATTTCTAAAAGGTTTTTTTTCTCAGGTACACTATAACTTCGTCAATTCTTCATCAAATCCAATGATTGACCACTCATTTTGAAGATATTCTTCTCCTTCACATGCGAAAAATAGTCCTATCCTTCCCAAATTTCTGGAAAAAAGTTATGAAGGAAAAGAAACTTTATTTGCAAATAACTCAAAAAGTATTTTTTGATTTTCCAAAAAGTTTTTGGATTGTGCCCATGATAATTAGAAAGATTACTAAATTACCTACAAAACAAAAAAAAAAAAATTGGACAATTATTAACAAAGATCCAGTCCATTAGTTTTGGTATACTTAATAATTTCTTCCCCTTTAACAATATTGCATTTACTATTCTACGACACTTTTTTTCCTGGCTGCTATATTAAATTTATTATTTCTTAAAGGCATTTGTTTGTTCTTACATTTAATTTTTTTTAATAATTTAGAAAATCCCATGATCGGGGCTTTTGTCTTTATTACCTTTATTATCTTTCCAGTCAGCATTTAAAAATAGGTCCTAGCAATGCAATTTGTACAAATATTTTGGTCTATTATGTTAAATGGAATATTGTAATTGACCAAGGAAAAAATATTGATTTTTTAATACATAGGATCTACTTATTTCCATATTGTTTTCCTATTTCTTCACTAAACAAAATTTTCTGCAAATTATTCACAGGAGCCAACTAGTAATAATTATTAACGTCTGTTATTATCCTTCTTTGCAATTATTATCCATCTTTGCATCTATCCAATTCCCATTCAAATATTTTTAAAAATGACCATTTTAGAGACTTCATCGATTTCGATGCAAAATTCTAAACAATCCTGGCTGAAAGCGAGACCAATATCGGAACCCGGGGAGCGTAATTGCAGCTAACGTATTACTTTCCGGTCCCCTTAATATTTATGTAATATATATTAATATGAATGCATATCTATAATTAAAATTATTCTACCTTCTTCTAAAATATTATGAAGCCATATTAGTTTATCGTAATATATAATTTATTCTATTTTTTGTGTCTAAGAATGTAGAAGGGTAACTAAAATTGTACTTTTATAAGAAATTCCGTTGCATGTACCTATATTATATGAATGTATGAGTATAAAGACTATAATTAAATTAACAGAAAAACTAATTCGGCCGGTTATATATTTTTTTTTTTACAAATAATCAGTTGAAAACACTAGTTATAAAATCTAAGCTACATATTGTTAAAATGAGTGTTGTTTATCTTTATCATTAATCATTATACAAACATTGCTAAGTAAATAGTTATTAAAAAAATTGAAACACGATCATCAAGGTCAATTATGATCCATTCTATTTATTGCATTTTATCCTAATCAAGTTTCCTATAGATTACAGTAGTAACCCAATTTTCTTTATTTTGAAGTTATTTAAACCCAAAACAGACAATTATTAGGTCACATAAAAAAAATGTCAGGCTCAGTTTTTCTTAACATTAACACTAAAAGGTTATAGTAGCTTTTAAACCTTACTTCCAATTTCGTTTCTTTTTGTCCCTTGTATCTCTTTATTTTTCACATATAAAAAAGGAATAAAATTTTTTTTATGAACTCATCTGACCTTTTTATTAATTTTTTGTTTGCTTTGTCTGGATTTTTAGGTCATTATATAGCAATTGATTAATTTTTTTGGTGCAGGATAAGAAAAAAATATTGACAATAGTATTAAATGAATTATAATGTATCATAAATTAAAAAACCAAAAGGAGCTTGAAGTAAAGTAGGTCAAGTAAATTTTTGTTATGAAAAAAAAAAGTTAGATTCGTTTTTGATGTCCTTTGACACTCTTAAATAGGAAATTTTATGAAACTCAGAAATTACAAAATTTAATACTTAATTTTTTCCTGGCTGATAACTAATAGTCCGTGTTACAGGACCATTCTTATCAAATTATTATCATCTACCTGAAATTTAGTGAAGAGCTTCACCTCATCGTAACCTACAACTATTTTATTTACAAAAATTGGGGCATTTCAATCTGGAGGTTGGCAAACTTTGTATATTTAATTAGGTACTAAAAACTCATGTAGACTGATTTGCTTTCCACTTGGATCATAAGATAATTTGATCTCAAAATAGAGAAAAAAGATAGCCTACAAAATATTGGTCCCTTTGTCTTATATAACCATGGTATTTTGACAATTTAGGGGTATAGGTCATGCCAAATGGCTCAATATTTTTGCAGGCTACCTTATTTCTCAAATTTTTGCTCAAATTATCTTATGATTCAAGTAGAAAGTAAAGGGGTATTTATGAATTTTTAGTAACTAAATCAATAGACAAAGTTAGCCGATATACAGATTGCCGAGATACAGAACGCCCTAATTCTGAGATTTTTCACAAATACAAAAGTTGTAGGTTTCGATCAGATGAAGCTATTCACTAAGTTTCAGACGTATGTTAATAGTTTGATAAAAAGGGGTCTACCATGGACTATTACAACAAATAAACCAGAGCTTGAAATGAAAAGTTAACTTCAATTTTCAAGCAATTGCAATATGATTGAAATTTTTATTTTCAATTCTGTTATTTCGCAACTAGATTTTTTTTTTCATGGAACGTTTCAATAAAGAGTTTTTAATCAATTTTATTTAAAGATTCAACATAATCATCCAACTTTTTAATAAGATATGTATTTAGTGGAGCAGTCGCTCATGATTCCCACCTCTGGTTGTACAATTTGTATCTTAATTTTTGCAAGTATTACTTTATAAATTTAAATGCGCTTCCTCAAAAATTCATGAATAAACATTTGCATCAATATTTCTCCAAAGGTGTGAAAATAAAATTATCACTAAAATAACTCTATTCCATAAAAAAAAAGAAGAACTTACAGGTGATCTTGAACGCGAACGCTTCTTATTCTTTTTATTTTTCTTAGCTTTCTTTGATCTTGTATGGTGATGGCTACAAGCTTCTTCGATTTCTTGTTGATATTCCTATACAAAAGATAATTATTAATAACTATAAGACAACAAATAGTTTCAGAATCATAATTAAACTAAATGGATACCTTAAACACCCTCAGTCTATCAGCTTCTATTGAAAGCGTTCTGAATGCTTCTTCACCTTGAATTTTGTCCCTTATTTCAGACCAATCTGTAGTGTAATCTACATCATAATCTTTCAGAAGGCTCCTAAATGCTGACTCCACTTTCCTTTGCCTCCTTTGGTCTTCTTTAACACGTTCTTTTTCTCTTGATTCAGCCTATTAAAAAATAACTCATATAAAATCTATCAAGTATATAGATTTATTGAATGAATCTTGAAAATATCTATTTTTACACTATACATAATACGGTAAATTTTAATGAATGAGGGTAAAGTGAAATAGAATTTTATGATATGTTACTAGAGGAACAACCAAACCTATTCTAACCAGAGTAGGAATGTCGAGATTCATTACATGGGTCCACAACAAAATAGATTTAAATCCGCCTAGACCGGATTCAACCGGCATTGTTATAAAGAGAATATTAAAGTTTACACTTTAACAAGCTCAGCTTCATGACCTCGTTTTCTTTTTAGTTAGAAACTTTCTATTTTATTATCATTTTTTGTTGGGAATAAATTATCAGAGATCTCCATAACTTTCTGAGAGTAAGATGAAAACCCCTCACTATTACTGTCTGTAGATACTCTTTATTTATAAAATAAATTATTTTTTGCTTAAATGCAATTAAGAAATATATTAAAATGTGACAATTAGTGATGGAACAACGCAAGAATTACCAATAAAAATTTAGATACCATTAAGAGCAAAGTATAGAACTTTTAGAAATGCTTATGGTTTTCTATAAAGAGTTCAAAGATTTTTTAAAGCTTAGGGCTTAAGACTTAAGACAATAGACTCAACCATTATGATATCATTAACAGTTTAGGCAGATAGAAATATATATATATATATATATATATATATATATATATATATTAAATATAAACATCTTTAACCTTTTCTAGGAGAGCATTGTAAGTAAGTTTGACATTTCCTGCATCAAGAGTGGCAGATCTTCTATCTTCACAAACCACAGTCGCAAATTCTTCAAAAGTTGTTGACACCTGAAAGTTATAAAAAAAATATATATGAACATAGTATAAAAAAATATATCACAAGATCTAAATTATAAAACAAGGCGGATTAAGAAACAAGTATGCATGAATGAATGAAAAAATAGTTTTATCCTGGGACTACAGTCTCCTAAGAATAATAACAGTGTTACAAATTTATGGGTATTAGTCTGGCTTAAAATAATAAAAAATACAAACTAATTAACTGCTTATTGTTATTGAAATTGTGCAGTAGTTGAAATTAAACAGTATACAGATACAACACAAGATACAAGTATGAACTAATATTTAACCTGAAAGGCTTGAACATGCAGAACATGATATATCTCAGTAATATGATATTGCTATCTACGGTGATTTAGAGAAGCTGTGTTACATTCTATTTCACTATCAAAACCACAGAGAATACGACAAAACGATTGCAGATTGCCGGGACAGATCAAGTTCTGGGTGCATGAGCTTAATAAACGGCATGGCTGGCCATCTATCTCACCATATTTCTTAATTTGATGAAATATAATGTAATAGTTATAACTTATATCTTCTATTCTGCATAATAAACAAAATAATTATGTTTAATTGAATTTAAAACTAGTTTTGATATATTATCCTTCCTTATTATTATTATTTTTTTAATATAAATCAACAATGTGAGATTGTTCAAAATTCTAAAACTACAAACCATCCAAAGATGTCCATACAAACCATAAATTGAACAAAAAACTTAATAAAAGCCTAAACTTACCTCAACCTCAAAACCTTTTTCTTTTAAGATTTCTTTTATAATTTTTCTTTCGTCATGAAACCTTGATTTCAAATCTTCAACATAAAATTTGAATAGGTCCAATGGCGTTGAACCTAAATTGAACATAAAAAAAAGACACTTTGCTAATATATAAAATTAAAAAACAAAATATTGCATTGCAAACAAGAAATAATAGCTAAGCATTTAATGAAAGAAAAGTCAACGAAATCAGTGAAGCCATGATAAAAGTTGAAGGATTATGTCACAAAACTTAATGGCCACCATCTCTATATAAAAGTCAATACAAATACCAATTGAGGTATAACCAAAATTTGACTTTTGGTATCAGACAAAGCAACTTTAATAAATACAAATCAATCTGTTTTAAAAGAGTTCTTATTAGGTTTTCCAGAATAAAATTTACTTTTTATAAATTTCATTTTATATCCTTGTAATAAGAAAAATCATTATAATTATTTTATTAGGGTTAAAGAATTATGATTAAAGTTTTAGGATATAATATTACAATATCGCTTCATCAATTTTATTAAACTTTATAGATTGAGTCGTATCCTATTTCATTCAAATGGTTTAATAATTAAGTAGTGGATTTTGTAAATAGTTGACACCGTACTCAAGTAACTTCATATTTATTTATCTTTTTTCTTTCTTTAACTTTTAACACTTATTTGAACCAGTTAAACTTTTCTTTCTCACTTAATTTTCATTTAGAAATTATGTTCACAATAATAAAGTCATTAATCTTAATATAAAATGTAAACTTGATTAGATAATAGATGGTATTTTCATTGTTTACTGTTAAAGATCTTTCCTTGAATTTCCATTGCTTTAAGAAATGGTGAAACATGATTTTGTTTTTCTTATTTAATTATTATACATTCTTGTACACACAAACTAAAGATATTTTTTTATAAATTTGCATTTTATATCATTTTAAACTGTAATCTTTTGTGAAGGAAGCTAGTCGACTGTTTTACATATCATGGGTGATAAATATTCAGAACACAATCATTATAAGGTCTTTATTAGTGCCGAAGTTTCACCCCAAAAATGTAGGTCATCATCAGTGCTCAAACTACGTCCTGATAATGACCCACATGTTTGGGTTGAAACGTTGGCACAAATAAAAAATTTTTTTATAAGACTGCGTCCTGAATATATACCACCCGTAATCTTTTGTATTATATATAGAAATTTTATTTGATACATAAGAATATTTTTTTGAAATAAAAATTCAAGACTCCTAATAAACGTTGTACTGTAGATATATACATGAGACACTCAATAACAATTTTAATATTTTCAAAAATTTATTTTTTGATTAAAATTTATTAACTTTAAATTTTTTTAATAAATTAAATTTAAATACGAAATTAATTAAAAAAATTATTATAACCTAAAACATTAAACTATTTTAGACTAAATAATTTTTCATATATTAATAGAATATTTTCAAATCAATTATTTGTTGTATATTAATCTTTTTAATTTAATTTAATTAAATAATTAAATTAATTTTTAACATTTTTTATTAAGATTAATAATAATACTAAAAAATGTCTTTTATATTTAATAAGTAAACTCTGTACTATAGGCTGGCCATTCACTTTATATTAGGTACCACTTGAGAGAGCATCTTTTTAAAAATGTGTTAACACTTATGATAAATAAAAAGTTAAATATTTAACAAAATTAAAATTGTAAAATATATGTTACTGCATAATAAATTGGTCTATTTATTTCTGGTACATCAATTTTATTAATAATGCATACCTGATTGTCCTAACATTGCTGAAAATCGTAAATCAGCACTAATAATTGGATATAATTCTACCCATAATGACATAGATGTAAGTTTTCCTTCTTCATGTAATTCATTCAACAGCATCTGTAGGAACAAATGTTTCATGAGTTATTATTATTATTAAACTTTTTTTTTTAATGCTTAAAATATTAAAAGTGAAATAAAATAATTACACCAAATGCATCTCTGTTTTTACGTTGCTGTCTCTTCCTGCGCTTTTTTTCTTTTTCTTTCTCTTCCTCTTCTTCCTTTTCAAGTTCTCTTATATGATCTTCAAATACTATAAGAGCATCTTCTTTATCCATGCCTAATGAAATAAAAAATGTCATTTGAAAATTAAAATAAAGGTATTTGAGACATTGGTCTATGCACTGAATAAACCCTTGAAACAACCTCACGAGGGATCAAAGCAACTAACGGCAATCGCATTGATTTTTTATATAGAAAAAAATACTGTGGTAGAAGGAGCCATTTTTAAACAGTGGCAAGAGTTTGGGAAGATTAATCTAAAATCAGGATTGTCTTTTTCTTTATAACTTCCTAGAAACTTAATGTTACATAGAGAAGCCATTTCCAAGTAAGCCATTAGTTTTTACTTACCCTATCCTATCACATAAATTATTTAGTTTTGGAAGAAATATTACCATAACGGTTAAGCACTTTGGGCATGGGTCTAGAGTGGCCAGTTCTGAATGTTGTGGGTTCAATTGTCACCTATATCGGTTAATATTTATTTCTTGGTAGTCCTGGGATATGAATCTTTACATTCCTATTATGGTTAGTAAGCAGCAGCAACATCTAGGTAGCCGTCAGGTGTTGGCAAGACCACAAGGCCCACTTATCAGTACAAGGTGTGAAGTTCTTCCATTTTATGGTACCTTCAGCTTAAAAGGCTAGGGGAAAAGCTGGCTTAAGGGTTGTTACCTCCATATTAAAATAAGAATATTGCTTATAGAAAGATAGAGGATATAATAATAATAAAGAATATAGAGGTAAAATAATAAGAAATTTAACACCAAGTGTAAATAACATGCAAGTTCAGGATTCAGAGGAATTGAAGTTTTATTGTCTCTTGAAAATTTATGTCAGAAGTAGTAACACGGTTTTCCAGGAATAGTACCAATATTTAACTGAATAAATAAACAATAATTTTTGATGGATTTATATAATAATTTATAGTGAATGAGTAAGAGGAGATTACAATAAAACAAAATTAAAAAAGTTTAAGTTTCATTTAACGATCTTAATAAACAAGAGAAACTTGTTTAGTTTGTTTTTCCTTAATATGATTTCACCAAATCAATTCCCAAAAAATTAATCCCGAAATATATAGAAGTGCAAATAATGTCATATAATTCTGTAAAACAATAATTCTGAATAAGAATAAAAGGCAATACCTAGTAAATCAGCATCATTAACAAAATTTGGGTTATCAAGAAGCATTTGTTGCGCTTCTTGCCACGTAGTTCGATGGTCGATTTGAGTCATGGAATCAAGAATTGTGGCTAACTGCTTCATATTCCTCTTTTTCCTGGCTTTACCCTCTTCCTTCTCCCTTTTGGCAAGATTAAATACGCAGTCCTCATATATTTCACGGCGGTCTGAATCATGGACATTTTTCCAAACATCAAGATGACCAAAGGTTTCTTGACATCGATAATACCTGAGAAAAAAATCAAAATATATTTAATCAATTTCAAACTATAACAAATATATGATTGTAATGTAGAATCATTCCATAAATTATTGGGTAAAAAAAAATTAATAATTAAGATAGTTGGGGTTTTTGGGTGTTATTATTACAAATGATTTGGTAGATTATTATTAAAAGACATAACTGAAAAAATAAAAATAACAAAACAAATTTCTTATTTGGAAAAATAAATCTTTTGGAAAATATATCACAGGTATGAGTGCTGAACTCTTAATATAAAATATATGTTTAATTTTTTTTAAATTTTACAATATTATAATAGTAAATTTTATGGTTATCATATAAATTGAAATAAGTACTTTAATAATTAATATATTTTTATTATACAATTAACAATTAATACATAGAACACCCTGCATCATTAATTTAATTTTTTTTTTTTGGTATTAGGTTTCAAATTTTTGGTAAAATAATCACCTCATAGTAGAGTGCATTTTATCAGTTGTCATAAGAAAATGTTCTAAATCTTCTTTTGCTTTCTTTGCTCGCAACCTCTGCTCTTCGGCTTCTTCTTTTCTCCTTTGTGTTTTATAAGCATTAAAGACTTGCTTCTTATCACTAAAATGTTTTAGCTGAGGGTAACGAGGATCATTTACAATTAATTTGACAGCTTGTTCCCAGGATGCATTACTTGGAATATCCTGAAAAAACATATAATATAAACTACTTGTTTGGTTTCAAACTAAAATTTATATACTCATAAGAGAATCGGTCCAATTATAAATTAAACAAAAAATAAAAATAATAATAAATAAATAAATCTTTAATAAATATTATCCAGTTCCATTTCTCATTTCAGGTCACCTAATTTGCCTTATACACATCTCTTGGTTCAGTAGCATCCGCTATCTCCTCCTACAAAGCCAAGTTTCTACCATCTTAATCCAATCCCTCATTCAATTCAAACCTAAATTTTAAGAAAATTCTATTTCCATATACCAAATATGAAAGGTCTTTTAATGTACATAGACACCAAATTATCAACCGAACATTCATTAACAAAATAAATTGGACCTTAACCTTAAGATAGAGAGGGGCAATAATCTATTGTAATAGAATAGTAGCTTAAAATCTACCCAAATCATAAATTAGAATAACTTACATTAAAAACTGTTGAGAGGGCTGATCGTAAAAAGAAGGGAGAGCATAATACTGGAAAGAATCAGAGAAAATAGAAGTTACTTTGTCAGCGAGTGAAAAATAACACAATCATTCCACAACTCAAAATAAGTTTCAGACAAAAAAGCATACCATGTCTATGTGCAAAATATGTATGTAGCTTTCTAAGCAATGTTATAACTCATACGTTTTTAGCAGTGAATTAAAGGAAAAAATGTTTATTAATCACCAAACAAATTTATAAAATATCACAAGAATTACAAAAGTCGCCTTTATCTATAATAGATTGTTTTCAAACATTCAAATAATTTTAACGTTCCTTGTATTTTTAAATTAACATGTTAAACATCACAGTAGATTAGCAAGTGAACAAACAAGTTTTCCTAAAAAAATAATTAAGACTTTTGAACTACTAAAACCCCCAATAATGAGCATTAAAAGGTTAAAATAAAAAATTAATTTTAACTGAGGTTAATACAAAACTAACATTTTCTGATAGTTCTAATCATGAACATAATAAGAATTAAATGCTTGTACCTTGTCCTTGAGAAGATTTCTAAATGCTTCAGCCATTTCTTTTTTATCTTTGTAAGATATTTTTGGGTCAGGAGTTGCAGTTCTACTAGGAATAGATAGGTTTGAATTGCTATCTTCATCTGAAAATTGACCAATCAAGTTAGCAGTAATCATAATTAGATAATGATTTAATTAATTTATGAAAAATGATAAGAGAAATATATAAAAATAGAAAATGAACCTGCTCGTGGAGGAGGAGTCGCTACGCTTATTGCAGCAAGAGTTGCAGCCATAGCTTGATCCAAAGCTGATTTGGTATTGGTAATAGGTGGAGGAGTAGTTGATTTTGTTACTTCAGCCGCACCTAAACAATTTTTTCTTTAAATTAGGGGTAGGAGAATAAACAAATTAGGGAAATAGGGAAAAGAAACACATGTCTAAATATGATTCAAATCTAATTAAATAACATGGCAAGTTATTTGGAATACTTTACAGACAAAGTCCAAACCAAATAAATATTAAGCCTTACTTTATAATATTATTTATAACAGTGCTATTCTGCAAGATAAAGATTCACAGCATTTGTGGGTGTGTTGAGAAGAATCACTCAAAATTTTACCATATCTGTCCATGTAAAAATTAGAAATTCTTTATCCATGTAATAAATTTCAGAACGATGGAGAGAAAATAAGTTAATTATTTAAAATGAGTAAAGAAAGCAACATCATTAATACATTTTTATTTTAATAATTAAATGTGTAAACGATTGTCTTACTTGTTGGCATAGGTATGGTTGCTGAATTTTGTTCAGCTGGTAGAGCTGGTGTCGTACTTCTTGCTTCTTCAGGCTTCTCTTTGCTTAAAGAACAGATAAGCATTCTTATATACATTTAAAATAAATACGTGAAATACTATTGTACTAGTCTTATATTATACTCATAAGGGAAGGATACTACATAAAACAATATTGGATTCGTTTCAATAGCCTCTACAAACCAAAAAGAAAAAATGTATGTCATTTCAAATAAAATTTATGCTATTTACTTTTGCCTTTGCTTTGCCCCATTTTTTGGTTATTATACATTAATCAATTTCTTTTTTGTGCAGAATAAGAAAAAACGTAGCAAATTATTCCAAAATGATTTATTATTTCCAAACACTATACATCTAAAGTAACATTATCTTCCTAGTTACAAAGAAAAATAAATAAAAGATGATTCCAATTATTGGACTAAACTTTTTTATTTAATATGCTTAAAAAAAAATAAAAAAGCATTACTTCAGTAACACATTCAAAATTTAGAAACCAAACAAAGGATATAACATTTGGAGTAGAACATATAAAAAAAAAACTGGAGACCATATCTTTGCTCCTAATTGTCCGTTTTTAACGATTTTTTTTTTGATTTTTTAGGAAATTCAGTAAACTTTTAACTTCATTTTGTAGGAAATTTAAATACCTTTGAAATATCTTATCACAATATCGACAAAAAAGTGTATACTTTTTGAGTTATTTGGAATTAAATTTTACCATCCCTCGTAACTTTCTTTCCAGCTTCTTTTCATTGAAGTATGTTATATAGATAAATTTAAAGGGCGTCAAGAAAATGACTTTAGAGAAGTTTCATTGAAATCCGTACAATTCGTTTAGGAGCTACAGTCTCTACAGCAATGCAGGTTTTTGGGCCGCCATTTTGAAAGTAAATGGCGGATAGTAATGTCGATGAAGGAGGATCATCCTCGGATGACTGACCTCTGATTTTATACCCAAATTTGAAAAAAATCAGTCCAGTAGTTTCGGAGAAAATGCGCGGACAGCGGACTAGTTTTTCGAATTCTACGCATCCTGAAACGTGAAACCTCAAATTTTGAGAGGTGGTTAAGTTTTTGAATTTTTTGGTCGATCACAATGGTTGATTATTGAAAATAATAAACCAAAATATTGACTATTGTATTAAATATGCTGTAATTAATCATAAATTATAAAAAACCGAAGGCGTATCCAGAACAATAGGCCAAGTAAATTTTTGGTATGAAAAAGCAACTTAGATTCGTTTTTAGTGTCTTTTGAAATTCTTAAATACAATTTATTATAGACATCAAAAATTAAAAAAATTTAATACTAGATTTTCTCAGAGAATTTTTTTCTAGGCCAATAACTAAAGTGTCAATAATTTTTCATAATAGCACAACATTTGGAAAGCTGAATTACTGCTTTTCCAACCCACTTTTAGATTCCATTCTATTTTAAACTAGAAATTAAGAAAAACTTTTGTATCATTTTTATTTTATATCTTTGTGGTTCTAATTTGTTTACAGAGGTCGATTTTGTGGCATTTCGTGTGGCAATACTTTGTTTTCAAAAACCTTAAGAAGTTGCTCATCCCCAAGCGGCCACGTTAGGCATCCATTAAAAACTACGTTGAGCTAAGTAATTTTGTCACAGAAAAATAACAAGCATTTTCCGCCTTCGGCCTATATAAATAAATACCTAAACTTTTCTACGTGTTCAAACATATTACCTTGTATATCGATATCACCGGTAATACCGCCATTTTTGCAGCTAACCATATATTTTGTCTTATCTGTGTTTATACTGAGAAACAAAGTTAATATTAATTTCTCACACCTCAAAAAATCTTTGTATGCAAATTTTCATAGCAATTGAAAAATTAAAATTTTAAGCATTCAATTTTTGCCCAGGTTGGTCCCTTCAAAATTTCGTCAATAACAACAAAATTTGTGATAACTTTAGAACGTCTCTATATGCTGGTAGAAAACTGACCTCAGTAAACAAATTAGAACCAAAGATATATAAGTTTTTCTTAATTTCTAGTTTTAAAAGAAATGAAATTTTAAAGTTATGTGTAATGTGGGTAAGAGCAGGAATTCAGTTTTCCTACGGTTGTACTAACATTGAATTAGGAGAAAATCCTGAGATGTTATGAATGCTTTAGTTATTGATTGACAAAAAAACCCTCTAAGAAATTCAAATATTAAATTTTGCAATTTTGAATTTCTATAAAATTTTGTATTATGAGTTTTAAAGGACACTTAAAACAAATCTAACTTGCTTTTTCATAAGAATTATTTAATTGGCCTACTTTACTGGGCACACATTTTGGTTTTTGTAATCTATGATACATTACAACTCATTTAATGCAATAGTAAATATTTTCTTATTCTACAAAAAAAAAAAAAAAAAAAAAAAAAAATGATTCGATATGTAATAACCTTTAAATCTGGGCAAAGCAAAGCCAAAAATAAGTAACAAAAATTTTAGTTGTTATTGTATAAAATGTATTTATTTCTCGGCTCCTAAGGCTCATTGCAACAAATGCTGGGATGCGTATCCAATATTTTTCGTTGTAGTATTACCAAAAAAGAAAAAGGTTGAAATCGGTGACCCACAGACTGTAGCCTCCCCCTTATCAGTGAAGGATTTATGGTAATCCAATTTTTAGAATAGAATAGAAAAATACAGCTTATTTCTGGGCAAAAGTCCTATACTTAAGAAAGTTCCTTACAAAATAAGGGTTTGCCTAAAATCTTAAAGCCCCCCCCCCAAAAAAGAAACTTCCTATGTTTCTATGTTCATCCTTATAACCTACCAGGAAATTACACACTAATTTCCTGGGTCCCAGCTGGAATCAGGGCTAAGGAAGATGTTGGTATAAATTATAACCTTCTTTCAATAGTAACGGAATGGTATCCGGCATCCGCCAGAATTCCGACCATAAATAATTTGAGCCATCCAACTTGAAAATCTATTGAGTAATTCACAAAAGAAAAATGGTCACATACATCCCTTTAAACGGATTCACTAAAGAGATTTAATACCATAATTTTACTATATTTGAACTCAAATTACCAAATACTTTATTAAAAAGTGAAATTATTATAATATTAATAATTCATATATTATATATAATTTATTTAATTACTTACTCAGTCTCATCTTCTTCAATTTTGGCTTTAAGTTCTTCAAGTACTTTGGGAATTGTCCACCGAGATTCCTTAGTAACAACATTATGATAGTAAACTTTTCCTGAGTCAGATTTATATTCCTTCCAAGGACACTGTGATAACTTCCTCTAAGGATAAAAATTGAATATTAAAAAATTAAACAATAAAATAAAAAGTGGATAAATGCAGAGAACATGACCACATATATAAAATTTTAGGGAAAGTAGGTGAAGTTTATAATCAGTTTATTTTGACAATTCTATAGTAACAACCTCCTTAAATCCATTCTCAACTGAGAATACCAAACCATTTATACGCTGATGACCTCCAAATTTACCAATCGTTTTATTACCATATTAAATGATCATCCGCAATAAGATTTCGGTAACATCAATGCATAGGCAGTAAACAATAGTTTGTGCCTCAATTTTAAAAAATACCAACATCCTCTTCGGTTCCATTCTTATTTTAAATTTTCTTTCTTATAATCACTTCTCTACATCGATTGTCCGTCTATCCACTTCCACACCTCTGTTAAAAATCCTGGAGTAAGATTTAACCAATAACCATACTGGGATCATGAAATCTCCCTAGTTACCCAAAAATCCATTGCAATCCTTAAATAGTTCTTAAGATTGCATAATCCTATGCTCCTTCAAACCACCCAGCTCCTAGTCCTCTAATTTTCTCCCACTTTCTTTCAATTTTTACTTTTTCATTAAGCCTGCATGATAAACTGTGGACTGTCAAGTAGGCACACTGAAGAGTAGGTATGCCAAGTTAAAGTGGCTTTATCCTACTTTATGACAGTATATTTCCTAGGTGTCTATCTTTTCCAAAACTTATGAATCAAAAAGTCTCCTTACATCCTCAATATGTTCACCCAATGTTTCTCTGCTACACCTTTAAACACAAGATCCAAATCCTCGGATTTATACATTCCTTCTCTCATAGAACTGTTTATTTCAAAAATTTTTATCATTCATGCTATCATGTTTTGGAATTTCTTATCCATATTTGTTTTATTATTATTATGTTGTTGCTACGATTTTTATCATTTATTGGTGCAAACATACCTTTTCCATATATCACTATTTCAATTTTTTTTTACTTATACGTTTTCTTTTCTTTTATAATTTGATTACATAATTTTAAAATGTCATTATTATTATCAGAAGCCAGACAAATGTTTCTGGAAATGCACATTAATATTATTATTATTTTAGATCCTTATTCATGTTCATGTTTTAGCAACACCTGAGTCCAAAGGTTCTGATTCCCTATTGAAAAGGATCCAGTGGTTTGTTAATTTCTTGAGCAACAGAAGCTGACATAAATTATAAAAGGATGAAAGATTAACATAATTTCATGTATGATTGTAATAAATGAAGTGATACATATAAATTTAGACCAACATTCATTATTGATGTTCTAGTTATGATGCAAAATATCTATCTGTTATTAAAACGAAAATTGGGTATTCAAGTAGTTTCAAAGAAAATGGGTTTGTGATATATATTAAAAACAGCAAAGATTGATAATAAATAAAGGAATAAAAGGCAACCTAAGTCGGATTTAAGCCTTTTTAAACATTTTTTCCCATCTCCATAAAATTGAGTTTTTCCATATAGACATTTTTCATTATAGGCTATCTTCATAGTCTGAAAGAGATTACGTGAAAATAACAATATTCCCTTAGTTTTAAAGAAAATTATTTACAAACAGACCAACCTTTTTTATTACCCCTTCCTTGCCTTTTATTTTCCCAGGCCAAGAGAGAGGGCAGGGGATTAATTCCAGAGTTAAAAGCCCCTCCCTCCCTGACACCGGAATGCAAAAACTCCTAATTACTTTATATCAGGTAACTTCAGTTTATCATGTGATTGGATGCAGGGAAATGAATGTTTTGCATATGCGTTAGCCTGATCGGCCACACCGTCCCTAAAAAGTAATATGAAGGACCCAGTCTTGAACTGTGAGCCTTGATAAATGAATCAGGCATGATAGCCACTACATTATCATTATACTTTACTAATAGACCAATCATTTCAAATAGAATGAAATGAATAAAAAATATCTTGATTTTAACACCATACCTCAGCTGGTGATTTCAGCTCATCCGGTTTATCCCAATAACTCTTTTTTGTTACAGTATTATAGTAATAAGTCCTTCCATCTGGTGATTTATGTTCAGTCCATTCAACTTTCTTTTCTTTGCTTTCATCTGAGCTGAAATGAAAATGGAGATAAATAATTAAGTAATATAAAACAGATAAAAACGAAGTTTCACCCAGCAGAGTGGGTGGAATAAAAAAAAAAATACAAACAAACATATATTTTACCTCAAAGGAAATGTTATAACTACTTAGCTCACGCCTCTTGTCACGGAATTTAAAAACTAGAATCTACGAAACCATTATTTTACCTACAGTTCTTTATGGATGCGAAACGTGGATGCTTACATTAAGGGATGAGCAATGTCTTAAAGTTTTTGAAAACAGGATGAGCAATGTCTTAAAGTTTTAGAAAACAAAGTATTGCGTAGAATATTCGGACCGAAGAAGGATGAGTTAACAGGAGAGTTCAGATGGTTATATAACGTCGAATTGCATAAACTATATCCGGTTAATATAATTGAATATAATGAAAGAATTCCTATAAGATTAATACTTGTTGTACCGAATGGTAAATGTCCGAGGGGTAGACCGAAACGAAGGAGGGAAGATTGCGTTAAAGCTGATCTCATGTGACTGGATTTGGACGGCGAACGGTAGAGGGAGGTGTGTAATAACCGAATGGTGGTGTCGGCATCTAACCTTCGGGTTCGCTAAGACTTTTATTATCATTATTATGATCAAAGGAAATTTTAAACATTATAATGAGACATTTAGTTTATAATATCGTATTTAACACAGCATATTTTCAAGAAGCAATGCTTATTAATATAAACAAGGAGAGGTCAGAAATGATTAAAAACCGTTACTTAGGATATTTCTTAAATCCAGATATTTATTTTATAAACTCATTACATGAGAGTCTAAATATTAAATTTAAAGACACAATCGATGAATTTCCATACTTTATTATAATGATTATGTTGGACCAATTTACTTAATACATAATTGGCTTACCTTACTGGACTATATTACTTCAATTAAGCAAATGACTCAGCTAGTCATAAAATCTTATTAATCCAGCATTGTACTCATTAAGACACAATTGTGAAGTGCAGATGAGCCTTTGATGGTAATTATTTCACTGAATAAGAGTGGGATATAGAAACTAGACATGGATAAGAAATTTATTACTGCTATAGTAATATTAACATTAAAATATATGAACGAAACCTGTTATTTTTATGTAAAATTTCAAAAAAGTTCTTTCTAAATAATCAAACCAATCTCAATGCTATTCTCCTTCATTTACCTTTTCAATAGGTTATATTTTACCGAAGACTATAATAAATAGCGATATTTTAATTTTTTTTTAAACTTAAAGAACACGTGATAAGTATCCAATGAGAATCGTAACAAATAAGGCTTTAAAACTCAGGGTATTGGTACATTATGGATCCTTAATGTCCACATCTAAATCCTTAAAACAAAGTTTGTCCCACTTGATCTGTCAACTCACAGGAGTTTTGAAACCTCATACTTTTTCAAAGAGTTTTACAAAAATTTTAAAACAAATTTAAGGATCAAAATTTGGATTTGCCACTTCACTATGAAAATTCTTTTCTTTTAACACTTTGTCAACAAACTCTATTGCTTCTGAGAGGTGGAAAAGAGATCTAAACTACTGTATTACATATAAAATAGATATATTTTCAGTTATCAAAAGAATAACAAATAAAAAAAAAGTCTTGAGGTACTTAGCACATTATACTCTAACAATAAAATAATTAAACTGCAATGGGACACTTTCATAGAAAAAAATTGTGTAAATTTGAGCAGCAATAGAATTCAAGTAATAAAGAATGTGCACACGATTGAGATCACATTTTTCGAATAAAAAAAATATAGAGTCACTAGATATAACTAAATAATTATACATCATTACATATAACAAAATATATATATATTTTAAATTATACTTACCCGTTAGATTTATCATTTTCAACAGGAGGTGGCTTTCCAGAATCTTTAGGAATTTCCGGAACAACTAAGAATAATAAATCAAATTAGTTTAATGACCTTAAATTTTACACAATTCATTTTAAGATATCAGGAATTAAAAAGAAGATAATTATTATCAAAAGCATGCTTACCATCTTACTGTTATAAATGTGCAATATGTAAGAGTTTAGTAATACAAACAAACATTTAGTCAGCGAAATGTGCTTCTTGAGAAAATAAAAACCCTATTTCACTATACTTATCATGATATCATAAATCATTGAAGAATTAAATATTAATGAGTAAGCTTACCATCAATGTTAAATAATGTTTTCTTACCTGGACAGGCATCGCACAAGCGAGTGATGGCAATGGATGCTTAATCAGGCAATAAAAAAATCTGTTGCGCGCAACACAACATTCACTTGTCGATCTAATTTGAATAGAAATTATTTTCTGGCAATGTTGGGCTATTATAAAATTTTTTGAAGTGCATTTTAAACGGAGCTAAAGCTTAAAGCTTACAGATAACAAGTCATTAAGACCATTATAATTACAAAATATCTATTTAATATATCGACGACAGGCAATAAAAATCAAGTTTTCCATCTGCTTTTATAAACCACACAACTTTCTTTGCTTTTATAAACCACAGAATGACTAAATCTAATTTCAACATTTTTGAGTGATGTCATTTTAGTGATATTTTTAGTTGAAAAAGTTATCTATGCAGACAATGAGTAAGTTGATCCCGGAGGTGGTGATTGCAGTGTTGAAATGTATGAATGATGTATAAGAATAAATGTATAAATTTAGGTACTTATTTCTTATGAAAGATGTTCTTAGGAAAGATACTTTATTAAATATCTGTAGAAAAAAAGTTTTTTTAGTCTCAAAAATTAAAAAAGTAAATTTTAAATTTATCCAAATTTTCGCCTCTTCAGGGAAAAAAACTAGAGGCCATATCTTTCCTCCTAATTATCCAATTTTTTTTTTTTTTTTTTTAGGAAATTCCATAATCTTTTAAAAAAAACATACAATATCCACAAACATACAGTGTATACTTTTTGAGTTATTCGGAATTTAATTTTACCATCCCTCGTAACTTTTTTTCCAGCTTCTTTTCGTTGAAGTATGATATATAGATAAATTTAAAGGGTGTCGAGAAAATGACTTTAGCGAAGTTTCATTGAAATCGATACATTCATTTAGGCGCTACAGTCTATAGCAACGCAGGTTTTTCTGAATTTTTATTTATTTTTTTCCTTTATTAACTAATCAAATTCTTTCAAAAGTTATATGTAGCATTGTTTTATAATTCTGAATAATGCGAAATGATTAAATTTTTAAAATAAACCATATTAAAGATACTTTAGAGGAAGACATATAGGAACATTGGGCATTTAAGCCCTTTAAAGTTAAATCTACGGGGATAAGACTTAAATGATATTAAAGACGACTTAATTATATAACAATATACCAAGTTTAATCAAAATCGTTAAGAGCCGTTTTTTGAGAAAATTGTAAAAATGAGTTTCAGCGTTCATATAAAGTGGCACTTACGGTTAGCCGATTTTAACAAAAAAGTTGCTGTCACATCCGGCCCATATACAAACCTTAAATACTTAATATCAGTGTTGTACTACTTTTCGTTTATGAGTTAGACTGTTAACACACACATACAGACCATTTTGCGACACTTGGTTATTTGTACTCAGAGGACCTGAAAACATGTATTTCCGTTGAAAACTGAGATTCGAAAATTTTCACGATCGCAATACTTACCCTTACTATATATTACATATATACGTAAGTGAAAGTAAAAACCAAAATAAGTAATCCAGCTACGGGCCCCAATTGAACATGAAATCTGCTTTCACGATTGACAAAGATACTTGCATTGTCTACATTGCCCCATAGCAAAATAATTATATGAACAATTTGTTTAGATTATGATGTAAGAGGGCAAGGGTCGGGATGAGGTTGACAAAAGAGAGGTTGTTTAAGAGGAGATCATTGGACTATTTAAATTTAAGATACCTAAGAAGCTCTGCATTTGACTGTCTGGAACTTAGTATGTTTGCAGCATATAATATATATCATTATACCTAAAGACCGGATTTCCATGTTATTGCACATTTTATTCGCTTGCGTGTAAAAATTCCGGACCCGAATATCTATCCGTTTCAAGATCTGAAGAATAATATGTTTATTTTATATTGCACATTTTGCTGTTTTTGGCTTAAATTGTATGATTTGGATTATGTTTGCATTAAATTACACATTTTGGGCTACATTAAATGATTTATAAATATAAATATATATGTATGTGTAAATATTAATTTTTAATTTTAGTATCTTCAGAGGCCTCTCACGGTGAACTCTCTCTCTACCAAGGTCTCACGGAACTTCTCTTTTAGAAAAGGGATACATTTATCATATGAGTTCTTCTTTTCTCTTTCCACTTCACTCGCCAGATCGACATCATTGCTCTCAAAGCAGCCAGTTGGATCCAAGACCAGCACTGTCCTTCCTGTCTTGGAAAATGCGACAGTATCCGCATATATCGTAGAGCCTTCACTGTCGATGCAATAGACCTCTTTAACTCGGTTAACCATATGGTGCTGACGTGTTATGAGGGAGTTGTTGGGGCATTTTCCCAGCACATGGGCTGATGTTTCAGACCCTCTGCTGCATTTACGACAGAGGGACCCAACTTCTCTGAACTGTCTGCTGACACCTGAGACTCCACGCAGGGGTACACAATTAATGTTTAGTTTCAGGGCATTCAACCATTCAGACCCATAAAATACCTGCTTTCCATACATGTATTTATTCTCTTTCAGGGTTTCTTTAAAATGGCGAACAAATAAGATTTTTTTTTACTAACTCAGAGTAAAAATTAATTCTAAATTTACTGAACATTACACGAAATCTAAGCAACTGCAGTAACTGAAAAGCCAGTAACGTTTGGAATCAAACAATAAAGTATAAATTAAGTTTTAGAATAAAACGTTATTAAAGTATAAAACCTCATAAAAATATTGTATTGACCTAACCCCCATTACACATGATCAATGCCTTCCACATTTTACAGCTATTATATTATATTGTTAACAGTAATTTATATTAATTTTAATTATTAAATGGAATTCAATGAAATTGATACTATGCAATGTCTATATTATTCTCAAAATTTCCTCCAAATTTGAGTCAAATTGAACGAGCAGTATAGGCGTGTCAAATAACACATTTCCAGATCTGAAAGCGGATTTTTTTTTTTTATATTTGAGTGTAGTGGATAGAATTCGATAAATTTGATATTCACTTAATCATCTGTTAACCAATCCTTAATATCCCTCCACGTTTGAGCCAAATTGAATGTTTGGTTTTAGAGAGATAGGCTTATCAAGGAAAACACATTTGCGCATATATCAGAGAAAGTAGTGGACAGAATTCAAGAAACTTGACACTACCTCATTTTTTCACTAATACCTTATCTTATCCAACTTTGAGTCAAATCGAATGAGCCATTTCTGAAATATTGGCATATCTATGAAAATACATATATGAGTACGCAAGCGTAAATGGTGGATGGAATTTGATAAAATTGATATGGAACCATCTAGACGCCGAACCAAATTTGATCCTTGATATCTGAAACGTAAAACATGAGTGGAAATTTATAATTCTGAGCACAAAATTTTTTTAATCTCTTGCACGAATACAATACTTCCCTACCTTCGGTAGTGAGGAAGCCAAAAATACAGGTTACGCTCTTATAAAAAGATGTACGGACTGCATGAACGGTATAAATATACATGTTGACAAACAAACAGCAGTGTTTGCTCGATACAAAATGAGACCCCTTACATCAGTTCATGTTAACACTCTTTTTACTTATTTTACAGATATATTTATAACCTTAAATACATTTACTGTAGTTTAATAACTCCAGATCTGATATTATATTTAAATAATTAGTTATCAATCGTCCGTTTATTCCAAAACATTATCATGTAAACTTTAATAAAATTAAATTAGTGAACAGTTTGATGAATTTTTCCTTTGTGATATCCCAACAGTAACACTTACAATTAGTGTGAAAACTTTTGACCTATCTATGACAGGCAATGCAAATCTCGTTATTTCATTTTAGTGAACTTTGCTGTGGTTAATAATAACAGTTTAATAACTAATAGTCGTACAATCCTTAAGCTTTAGCTCTGTTAAAAATGCACTTCAAAATTTTTTTTTACAGCCCAACATTACCAGAAAATAATTTCTATTCAAAGTAGAGTGGTAAGTGAAAGTTGTGTGTTGCACGCATCAGATTTTTCTTAATTAAAAGATGTATTAAGTGATAGGAGAAAAATATTTTCAGAAACAAATTTGGGAATGTATAATATTGTAAATTTAAACTCTATCATCAAATAAAGTTTTCATTATAATTTAGACAATTTATAATGATGTATATACACATCTTATTTTTAATTAAAATTAAATATCTGAAACAAATTGGTCTGGTATATATAATATATATATATATTTCTCTTTCATAATTTTAATCTTTTAAGTTCCTCTACATTACTTCATTCCTTGTATGTATCAGTCAATCAACCAATTTAAGGGAAATTCAAATAAATATATTTCATTATTTGTCGATTAATTATCAAGATCTTTTTGTATTTGTTTTGTGAATAATCTTTAAATTTTCTATTATTTATGTTAATCCTTATTTTTTTTGTGATTTCTCTTTATTAAAAATTTAGGTTAATCATAATTTATTATTGTATTATATTATGCATTGTTGTCATTAGTTGATGGTAAAATGGATTTTAATTTTTAATGTTGCATCTTAATTTTTTTTTTGTGACACGATATTTTAATTCAGAAGCTTAACATAAGATTTGATAGGATTTTGATGTATTAATATTATAAATTAAACAAAACAGATGATTATTGCACATTTTTCGATGTAAATTAGAAAATTTTACATATTGTAGGTTTTTACTACACAATTTTGCACAATTTGAGTTTTTTGGTGCATATTTTATGAATTATTGCTGCATGAAGATCCGGTCTCTAATTATGATCATTATAAGGTGTCAAGTAATTATTTAAAGAACTAAGAAAAACAATGTAAGAATATTATTAAAAAATTTTTGCTGTTTTTCTTTTAAATGAGAAAAAATTAAAATTTCTTATTAAAATAAAATTTCTCGTAAACTTGACATTTATATGTTATGAGAGGTTGTGGGCACTCTGTTTTTAATCAATGTGAATTGCAATCCTTGAAGAAGATTTATAACACAGGGTAAAATTTGGAAAATATAATAAAAAATACTATTATAAAATATAGTATTATATACGGATTGCACCTCTGACCTACTTCTTCTCAATTTTTTTCTTATAATTCTCATTACAATAATATACAATTAACTTTTAATTAAACTAAAAAAAAATAAAACAACTATAATTGTTATTAAAATACTCAGTTATAGATTAAGCTTCAATAATCTATTTACCTGGATTGGGTCCTGGCGGAAATCCAAAACCTGGTGGAGGCATACCAAAAGGTGGTGCCATGGGTGGGCCAGGAGGCATTATAGGGGGTGGTATGAAACCTGGCGGAGGACCACCTGGGAACCCAGCCATTGGTGGCATTGGGAAGCCACCAGGTGGAAATGGTGGTGGACCACGTTCATTAGGGTTCTAAAAAAAAAAAAAAAAAAAATACAAATAATAAGAAAATTGTAAATATTCAATAAAATAACTACAAAGCAATGAATTACATTTATTATAAACTATGTAACTAAATGATTAATTGTATGTACTAAAATAAGTGATCGTTTTTCTTTCCTTTTCCATTGCAGAATATAATTAATATGGTCATAAATCTTTTTATATTGGGCTGAGGAAAAAATAATTTTGTTTTATTCCAATAGGTGATCTTAAAATCTCTTATACCTTGTAATCCTTATTTAGAGAAGCCATTCAATAATATATTTGAAAGGTCTCAGTCCATAGAACATTCTACATAAAAAAATAGTGTTATCCATTTACTAAGTCAATATAATTGTTGCACTTTAAAAAAGGATTACACAATTAAATTTGTTATATTTTGCTATTTTAGTTCCAAAAAAAAGAAAAATGCAGCACAAGCTCATTGAATATTATATGAAGTTTAGAGTGTATGAGTGCTTAAATAGCGAACACCAGTATTAGAATTGGTTTGTACATTTTCGTTCTGGAAATTTTGATGTTAAAGATGAACATTGCCCTGGCCAGCCAATTGTTGAAAAGTTGATGAAATTCTTCAAAAAATCAAGAAATCTGACATAATTCATCTCGTGGCATCACTACCGAACTAAACACTGATCAGAGAACAGTTTTGAACCATTATGAGATTGGAAAGGAATTGCTCATTATGAGGTGTCTTCCATCACAACAAACAGACCACACACATCTTTTATGATCTGGCAAGGATTGAAAGCTTGGTTAGGATGTTTTAATTGCATCCACCATATAGCCCGGACCTAGCCCCATCTCACTACCATTTGTTTTGGTCTCTGTAGAACTCTCTTAATGGTGTAATGAGAGGATCAAAACGGATCGTGACAATCACTTGGCTCAGTTTTTTGCCCCGAAATCTCACAACTTCTATAGTGACAGTTTTACCCAGAAAAGCAGCAAAAGGTCACCGATAAAAACAGCACATACATCATTGGATAGTGTTTGAAATTTAAATAAGTAAATTGACATTGAAAAACATGAAAAAAAAAAAATGAAATTATTTTTTTCCTCAACCCAACGCCAATTATTATGATACATTAATATTATAAATAGACATGAAATAAACATGCATATAGATTACAGATCAAAGGTAGAAATTTATTAAAATAAGATTATATGTCAATGAATGAATGTCACTGAAAATGAATTTACTACTGGGAAACATACCGTAGAGCATAAGAAACAGAAGAATACATACAGAGGATACTATTCTAATGAATTTATCATAAACAATAAACAAACATAAATAAATTATGAGTCAAAATCATTCCAAAGAGTTTTAGTAATAAATTAAAATTAAAAAAAGGAGTTATAACATACATTACACATTAAATTTTAACTACATTACATTAAAATCAAAACAATGATTTTTAGGTAATAATATCAGTTATAAGATAAAGGAGATAGTCAAGACTAGACTGTTATGTTAAATAAATTAACCAATTAAATAATCTGCAATTTTTTTTTTTCTTAGAAAGTCACTCTTTGGAAAGTTTCTAAATATAATATATCAAATAGATTGATAGTCAAGTGATTATTACGACTGATTAACATTATCCTTTAGATACATGAAACTTATCAGGCAATTCAAGACTCAATTGTTCGTTTTCAACAAATTATTATTATAATAAAATTAAAAACAATGCGGTTATATTATAGTAGCAATTTGAATATTTTTATCACCTCTCGAAAAGTTTACACATAAAATATATAAACTTTCAAGTGTTCCATATTTACAATAGGTCATCAATGAATTTGCTGATAAAATGAATTGCTGAAGTTCTTCAAACCTAATGTCCAATTTTTTGAAACAGAGTTTATGACAACTCAATATCTGCGACTTAAGCACTAAGAAGAATAAAATCTCCATTTTTAAATTAAAAACTACAGGAATAAGATTATAAACTCAGAAATAGAATATAAAGCTAACATGGTTCCAACTTGATATTCAATCAGGAACAGATAAGCAACCAGTTACGTTACACTATTCGTAATAAAGGCAACTGAATAGATAAATTTAAACATAACATAGCAAAAACAATAAATACCGAAAGTTGTTTAAGAGATTATTCAAAACACAGTATATTGATATAAGCATTGATTCTTTTAACTTTCTCAAGACAAAGCATTTATTTTTTCTTCCTAGGTAAAACAAAATTTGAAATTATTGCCAGCATACAGTGACAATTAATATTAGCTATCGAACAATTTGTTTTAAAAGATGTAGTTGAATTAAAACTTATCGAACAAAAAAAAAAAATCGTATATTCTATATCAAATAAATAAATAAAAATTACATGTGTAACCTATGCTGAGAATAACACTGCTCCACATATATCAGATAAATGTGCTTACCATTAAAATTTCTAGTAGAGAAGCTCGTGAAATAAATTAAATACCACCAAAATAACTATTGAACTATAATACACATCGGAACTTATTATACATTGGTTTAAGTCTTATCAAATATTAAAATAAAAACCGTAATATTTTAAATACTGGAATTGTAACCTCCCGCCGGCCAAGGAAAACAACGCTTGTCTACTTACATGGCCAAAGTAATACTGAATTTTAATATTAATAATTATAATATAGTAATTTTCAGACTGGTTATATTTTGTATGGAAGTTAATCTAAAATCAGGAATTTTAAAAGGCAAAAATTAAGAAAATAAATAAAAAAGAGTTTGAAAAATCATATTTAATCTATAAACATTTTCACTTATCACAAAATAGGATCTTCATTCATTTAAAAATATTTTGCTTGATCTATAAACTAAATTAAGCATTTAAATTAAATTCCTTCTTTGCTAAATGTGTTGTATTACCAGCACATATATTTCCAAAAAATATGCTCCTAATCTGAATGTAGTATCGATACCTAATGTTCAATTGATAATAACTGAGTAATAGGTCTTACCCAAAAGAAAGGTCTAAAATTATTCATTTTATTCAGTTTCTTGATTAAGATTTCATATAAGGTAATAGGCTGTTATACCCTTAATTGTCCTTACAGCTGTTTTTACCCATGCTATTTGAAGTTTCGCTATTTGAAACAATCGTTGGCTGGTTGAACTTAGTTTCAAATTTACTATGCGTATACTATTATATCTCCTTAAGGAACATTTTGAATTCCCTCCAAAACAACTGCTGGCGATATAAAGTTTTTTGTGTTATTTTTAATATTTTAAATACTTAAATTTAATATTTTTGGCTGTAATTATTGGTTACAAATAAAACATCTCATTTTCTTCCATGGATACATTTGTGTTTTGCAGAAATAGTTTTATTTATTTTTTATATTCGATTTAAAAATTGAAGTATTTAATTTTTTGTTGGCCAGTGTAGTAATCCGAGCGAAAATGGCTATAAAGATGGTAAAGAAATAACTGCACAAGTTAAAAGGTAAGTTTAAAATAAAGGTTATTATTTCATTTAAAAAATAAATATGTTTTTAATTATTAATTATGATTAATATAACTAATTATGTCATCATAATATATTTATTTTCAAAATATACAGCTGAAAGTAACGAATTATCTATAAGATTTATATTTTACATCGCTATATAATCTTTGTAGGTGATTAATATTGCATAGATTCTGCTGAGCGTCAATAATTTTAAATATTTGAACCAAATAGGTAACTCTCTTGTATTGATAGCACCCATAAGGGGAGGTGATACCTGCCCTATAGAAAACAAAAAAAAAATTGTAATAATTTTATACTATATCTGCTATATTTTTACTCCAAACAAGATAAGTTGTTTCCTAATAAAATAAGTAATTTGTTTATATTTTGAAATACATACCCCGAATGTAAACACGGCCATTATTGACTTACAGACAGTTTAATTTTAATGTTACCAATTGTTATATATGTAAGTATATATGTATAAGTAACATCGCTACTGTCAGTACTACAGGTCGTGTTATGAATGATGTATTTAACGACCGGAAAAAATATCCAAGAAAATCAAGTACTTAAAATTGCAATTCTTTATTCCTATAAAAATTCGTATTTAAGACTTTAAGGATACTAAAGCGAATTTAACTTAACAGAAATTTATTTGGCCAACTTTACTGGAAGTGTTTAAGTAATTTATGACACATTATAACTCATTTAATAGCATAGTCTTATTCTGTACAAAAAATAAATTGATTGTCATATTAACCTAAAACTCCGGGCAAAACAGAGGCAATGTTTTGTGGGAAAAATGGAAGTTTTGGAAAAATTCTGAGTTTTATCGGAAACATTTATCACGAAACTCGTCAACAAATAAATTAATGTTAGTAAGTATTGCATATTATTAGGTTTGTATTAGTAAATCAATATTTTGCGTGAAAACCATTTGAAAAATATGGATAAGTAATACATAAAATTTAAACAACAATATGAAAGCCGAGCTTCTTTAATAGCTTATATCGTAGAGCTTCCCACCCTTATTTCACCTTTAGTTACCAATAAATTTTCTTCATTCACTACATTTATCTATTTTTTATAGCAGGTTCAAATATTAAATGGTTAATTATTTTAAATTAAAGAAACTTTAGAGGAAGACATTTTGAAAATTAGGCTTTTAATTAAGTCCAGTCTGGTTGCATCAATGAGGATAAAATCTGCTTTAAATTATAAAACACTTAATAATACACCAAAGTAGTGAGTTTAATAAAAATCACACCCAACACCATTTTGTGGGACTTGGTTATTTGGACTCAAGAGACCTCAAAACAGTTATTTTCGTTGAAAAATCAGACCTGAAAATTTTCACCACCGCAATGCTTACCCATATTATATTACAGGTAAGTGAAATAAATAAATTACAAAGCATTTGGAAAAAAATATATTGAAGTAAATTTATTTTGTTACTTAAATCCGGTAATCTGGGTTGGTAAAAAAGGGTTATCATATAAAAAGAATGTTTACTTTTTTAATGAAATAATTTATATTTTGAAATGGTAATTACACATTTATCATATTATACTAAAATATTATTATTTAAGTATAATAATATTGGATTGATGGTTAACTGTCGTGAATAATTGAAGAGAAGTTAGTTGGGATGTACAATAAAAAAAATAAAATAAAATAAATTTTATTTGCCGATGTTTTGGCCCAAAGTTCAGTCTTCATCATGGCTGGACTCATGAGAGGTTCCCTAAATATAAAAATAATGATAACATATTTAAATAATTACTCCTTTAAAACTGCTTAATGAATCAATTTTAGCGATTCGGCAAAATTAGTCACTCAGTTGATGGCTTAAAATTTTTGAAGGATGTGAAATATTATATGAAAAATAAATAATGAACAATTAAATGTTTAGGGATATTATTGTATTAAAAAAATCTGTGGCCATTTAAAATTTAAAAGTGTCCTTTTACTGATACCAGGAAACAAAATTACTTGTTTAACATAGATTTTGGTCATACTAACTGTTTATTAAATTATGCTACAGCTTTTATCGATTATACAACTATTACAAATAGGTATGAGAATGCGACAATTCTTGGAAACTCTAACGTTATTTAGGGGATTAAGGTTGTAGACATTATATTCAATTAATATTATTCCTAGATTAATGATAGTAATATATAGAAATAGAGATATTAGCGGATGATATAGATGCTGAGACAAACCGCTGGACCTGGCTAGAGACAGGGAGGGGTCAGTGGCGGGAGTGGGAACGATAAGATATAGCCGAGCCGCCGCGAGGGAACTGAACCAGTTGCCGCGATGCCGGTCTGTACGGATGAAAGTGTGGGCAAGGTGTGCGGAAGCGGGGCGTCCACGCCGCCGTCCCCGACCACCCCTGTCAGCTGCTCGCCTCCGCCTCCGAGGTATCTCTCCAGGAAGTCGTCTTCTACCTTCACCCTGCTCGATCGGCGCTACCTCACACCCAGCCCGCCCCCAGAGCCCGACCTCGGCCTTCTGCCTTCCTTCATCGGATGGTATCCCGCCTTCTTTCTCCACTTCAGCAGAAACCTTCTAGCCACCTTCATCTATTTGATGTGGAATCAGTTTTTCCTGATGGGACCTGCTCTTTGGGTGTCTCTTTGGCTTTGGGTGTTCTGGAAATGCGTTTCATATCCATTATTTTTCGCCAAGTGGTTCATAACGCTTATGTTTACACCTGCTACCGAATTGATCAGGAAAAAACGGACCGTTATGATAAGTGGAGGTAGCTCTATACAAACCCTTCATTTAGCGAGGAATTTCTTCAGTGCTGGTGCTCGTGTTGTCGTCTTCGAAGTCGAAGGTACATTCGGCCTCGCACGCTTTTCTACGGCAGTCGATAAGTTTTACACTGTCCCTCCTCCACGCGGTGACAGAGCTGAAGAATACATCAATGCTTTGAAAGAAATCGCGGCTGACGAAAAGGTTACTTACTATATTCCGACATGTGTTACCACTACAGCATATTATGACGCACTGGCGAAACCTCACTTGGAATTGATGGGCGTTTCTGTTTTTTCTCCTGGACTGAAAGAAGTCCTTCAGCTGGATGATGTTATGGAACTCTTAAGACGGTGCCATATCGAAGGTATGTCAACCCCTGAGTACTTTCCAGTCATGTGCAAGGAAGAAGTACATAGGTTGTACGATGATGGAACCTTACATGCCGGAAGACATATTATGTTCAGTGCGGGTCCTTTGGGTTGCCGAGACAGAATGAAAGTGCTCTTACCCAACACTAAAAGAAATTTCAAAGGGATTCACTACATCTCTATTCATAGACCATGGGTGATAGTGAAGGATTATCCTGGAGACCACTTCATTACTTGTACGACAGTAAAAGATTCTAAAGTGTTGGCTAACGTTACATGTAAAGTTGAGGGCTCAGAAGGTAGAATGGTTCCTGTGGACCACAAAGAAATAGACTTGTGGCTGAATCAGCTCTTTTCCAAGATGAAGTTCCTCCGCCCTGTGTCAGGACACATGAGCTTCAGGTTCGTGGAGTGTACCAATTCAGGGAGTGTGGTTCCCCTGGGCTGTAGGGTTGGAGTCTCCATGCCCTACATCTGTCATACGAGCGTCCATGCCCGGCTGGTGTGGAAACCATGCAGACACTTTTCACGGCAGGCCTCTGGCCCCCTGGTGGCTCCCCAGGGCAGGTACTGGATCTCAGAGGCCATCATCGGCGCTATCCGACGGCCCTCCGTCAAGAAGATGACCGAGCTGGTCCGGACAGTCCTCGACCGGCGGGAGGCTATCTTCTCCTATTGGGATCCGATACCTTACTGTGCATATTACCACGTTCAGTTACCTTTGAACAAAATTAACAAGTTGGTTCGTAGGATACCGGAACTAGGTCATTAGGATGATGTGTATCTCATATTTATAACAAAAATAAGACTGATTAGTGTTTTTAATAATCTATTTAACTGTTATTATTTGGGAAAATATTTATATATTGAGCCTAATACTTAACTAAGTCTTTAATATTAAGTGATTTGTGATATATCGTAGTTTTTGTATGAATTTTTAACGAATAAAGATGTCTTTTTTTATATTTATTTTGATACCATGTTTTGAACACAACCTTTTTATCTAACAGGTCAGAATGGCACACGAATCAGATAGTAGATGTGAAATTCTTAATTAGATTGAGTATTTTTAATCATTTTATCCTTTGTCCATTTTATCAAGAATATCTAATTAGTTCAGAAGCTATTGATTATTGTTTTTTAATCTATATCAATTTTATTGTGAAACTATTAGTTCTATTTGCAGATTTTTACTAATCTTCCTGGTCTGGAAGTTTTGTAGTCTGTGTTTATATCTCAATTATATATAACAATGTTTATTTATTGGACAATATTGAGGAATAATTATTTAGCATGAAATAATAAAATTTTGTCATGCAAATATTGCAACACAAGACTATCAGTTTTATTTAATCTTTTTATAATCTGAAAAGATTTTCTTAATTTAGTCATAAAAATTAAAAAGAAAAAACATATCATTGATTCGTTGTTTTCCGATAGGGTATTACACCTTAAAGTAGATGTTTTTGAAGTAAAAATGTCACCAGAGAAATTATCCCATTGAAAATAAGAACCTGGAGGAATAACTGTTTGGTAGAAATACTTAGAGTAATAAACTTCCTTTCTGTTCATTAATTTTTATTTCTTTTATTTTATTTAATAATAATAAAATTTGTTTCTCTGCTTGTTTTTATAATTATTTTTAATTGATGTATGTGGCATCTAAAAGCTTAAATAAATTCATATAAAGGTCGTTCTAGAATATTTTTGTTATGCTCCTTTATAATAAAATGAAGGAAAAATGAGTACTATAAACGGTGTAATCTTACCTATAAAAAAATCATAAAAAGTCCCCCTTTTTGTTAGCTTGACTCGAAAAATGATATAGTCCGTGGTACAGACCCCTATTTATTAAATTATTAACATCCGCCTGAAACTTCGTGGATTGCTTTATTTCATCGTAACATACAACTATTCTACTTACGAAAACTCATGGAATTTGGGCCGTTTCGATTTTGAGATCGACAAAGTTTGTCTATTTAATTAGGTACTTAAGTGTCCTTAACTGTGACAAATTGTAATATTTCTGAATAAAGTGTTTTTTAATAATAATAATAATTAGGTACTAAAACTGGTAAATAGCCATTTGTTTTCCACTTAGATCGTAAGATAATGTGATTACGAAATCCAGACAAAAAGTTTCCTACAAAAATATTGGGCCGCTTGTCCTATATAACCTCGTTATTTTGACATTTTGGGGGTGCACATCACGCCCAACGGCTCAATATTTTTGAAAATCACATTTTTTCTCGATTTTATGATCAAATAATCTAACGATTTAAGTGAAAGACAAATAGGCATTTAAGAGTTTTTTAGTACCTAATTAAATAGACAAAGTTTGCTGATCTCCGGATTGAAAACGTCCCAATTCCAAGAGTTTTCGTATATAAAATAGTTTTAGGCAGGGTTGCCGAGAAGAGAGTTTTGTAGCGCAAGTTGCAGTTACACTGAGATGTAGATATTTACGAAGTTTCAGGCGGATGTTCATAATTTGATAAAAAGGGGTCTGTATCACGGACTAATATTCCTCAGTTATTCTTATTGCTGCACTTATAATTGTATTCAGAGCAACCCAAAACCGTTTCTGATTTATTGAAAATAGTTATCAACCACAAAACTGAAAGTGACATAATGATTTTAATTTATGATATAATCAAAAACAACAAAACAAAAAGCACTACCGATTGGCGGATCCACAGGGAGTGAGGAGATTCTTCCGTGCTAACCCAAAATGAAAACATAATTTGTGTTCATTGGCCCATATTTGTTTCTTGTGTTACCTCAGCTAAATATTTAATCGATAATATGAAAAAGTATTATTCCTCTGACGTATTGGTGCTTTATTTTAAAAATAGAGATACAAAAAAAAAGTTCACAACTTTTATCAGCGACATGATGATAAAAACAAAATTACGTAATGATGTAATACTTTGATCATTACAAGGCTTATGAAAGACTGTTTGTTTACCTTAGAACAGGACAACCCGGCCATATAAACGGGGGCTCCATCCTTGAAGGGGTCACCCGCTACTTCTTGGGAATTAAAAAAATAGAAGCGTATGAGAATAATCATTTGTTGTCTATTAACAAAGCAACTTTTTGAAGGAAAACTATTAAAATATTACTTAATATAAACCGCTTAAGAAATAATTTAAAATAAAATTTTTGTAAAGAGATGACGTCATTGCCCGGGGGCGGCAGTATCTTAAGCTGGTTCAAGATAAAAACGGGGGAGGGGCGAGCTGGCTAACTCGTGTGCAAAACACTTGCGTTGACCGGCAACTTTTTTTTTTTTTTTCTGTGTCCTCCCCTTCCTCGCCTTTAAGGCTATACGGGGTTTTCCCGGGCCAGGGACTGTGGGCGAGGATTTAAAAGACTCCCCCGGCACCGGGATGCGAACTCGAAACTATTTTTCATCGTTGTCTCATATGTCAGATTGCCGGGCAACGGCGGTGCTCTGCACACTCGTTAGCCCATTCTGCCACCCAGCCCACCTTGATCGGCAACCTGATAAACTGAAGTATATATGAAATGAGTTCGTACCCTGATGCAGGAGTGGCTTTCAACTCTGGCATTAACACCCCCGGTCTCTCCCCGGGCCCGAAAAAACTATGTACATCCTAAAAGGTGAGGAAGGGGTGGATAAAGGTGAAATATGAACAGTTACTGCTAAAAATATCTCATTGTAACACTATTATACTTATATGTGACATTTGAAAACGGCTTATTAATTTAACCTCTTATTAAGTAATATGAATGAATTTAATTAATATTTTGCAAAAATATTCAGAAGACAAATACATTTATTTTGCTCGCTTAAGCCAAAGATGTGATATTTTAAGCATTTTTCATGATATGCATTTTTAATACGTTGGATGACAAGTTTGATCAGAAAATCTGAAAAACCCCAAGCACTTTCCAATGAAATTTTTCTTTTAGGCTTTTTAAGCTTAAAAAAAAAAGCTTTACCACCAACAACCCATCAAGGGGTGAAGTTCAGTACAATGTGAGGAAGTACTGTTACCACGCCACCGGTTGTGCAGGGAGGTGATTGAGCCGAAATCACGTTCAACCGCGAGGTTTCCTCCCCCCCCCTTAATTAGTTATTTAATTAACAGTACCCACTCTATATAGGTTGGGTGTGCCACAGTAGGGTCTCCTGGTCCCACCGTCGATCCACGGCTGATGAAAAATTACTAGTCATCATCCGGTCTCAAACTTAATACCTTATATTTTAAGATAGTGTTAGTTAAATTCGCGAAGACGTTTTAACGGAGTCGTTCTTGATTGGAAATTAATCAGATGAGGTGTTTGATGAGACGAAAGTTATACAAATAATTATAAACCTATTTAGAAATTGTAACTAAACGGTATATTTAAAATAATTTTATTATGCTTAATCTAGAATAAAATAATGAAGAGTCAAATAAAAAATAAATAATAATAAAATCTATGATTTTTTTCCATTATTATTTATTTCGAAACGATTTCCTCTCGAGACCAATTCTTAATAATTAGCTCATTTGTTTTTTTAATGCTGAGTTTTTATTATGTACTGGTTTGTTGGAAAAATTGCACTAAAACTTCCTTTCGTTGTGATTATTCTCAAGGAAAGCGGCGAAAATTAGAAGGCAACTTTCAGGATCGCTGGAATGTTTCTCCTGGACTGTAGTGTCAGTTAAAAATTCCCCGTCTCTCCGAAGAACCCATAAACCTACAAACAATCCCAGATATCACGGAACCTGTAACGGTCGGAGGGGAATATCCCATTTCCTAGGAGTATTGGAACGCACTAAATTATTCCGTCAGTGCACGGAAAGGATCCTTGCACGAACTGCCGGATGATTGGGTTTAATACAAACTCTTTTTTTTTGCCATTCTCAGCACAATAATTTTTCTTATTACCGCTAATGAATATTTTAATTTTCATTTCAGTTCGAAAAACAACAATTTTCCCTTAATTTTTTAACCACAATTAAAGAGAAAATGTTTAAATCGATTAAATATTGGATAATTTTATATAGTTGTTGAAAAAACATTATTTTAATAAATTGCCTCATGATATTTCGGTTAATTATTTTTAGAATGCGGTTTGAAATGTTTGTAAAACTGAATCCTATCTTGTATTTCTAATTAAGAGTTAAAAGGTTTGATATCTTATTATCTAGCACCACTAGCCCAGGATCCAGGATTTAACATGGTAATAAAAAAATAAAACAAATATATAATTAAAATAAAACATGGTTATATTTCACCATTTTGAGGGAAATGGGCTTCAGCCCCAAAGACCCCTCCCTCCGTAGATCCGCCCGTGTCCAGCTTGATTCCCACATATCATTACATAAATTCGTTATAACGAAGGTTAATAATGTAAGAGAAGAAATAAGGCTTGAATAATAGTTGGTAAAAGGTGCTATTGGTCCCTGGCTAAAATATTTCGAAATCGTGATACATCAAGTGTTCCGCATCATTTTGCGAGTTAATCCATCCAGAGATGGCCAAATGCTATTTTAAGTACTGAATACCAAGTATTTTACTCAAATGCTGATTTTTTTTGAGTACTGAAGAATTTAATTTTACTACTTTAGTGGATGTCAAACGATTAATTGAAGTAGTGATTGAATTCTCAATAGTGATTCAATTTGAGTAAAATTCTTGGTACTCGGTTCCTATAACATTTTCCTATATCTGATTCCATCCAGCCCTGTTGACATGTTATCACTTCCAGCAATTCTTCCCCGCTGGTAAAATCATTTTTGTCGCTACAAACCT